TATTAATGTTTCTTATTAAAATTCAACTGTTAACTGCTATCTGTGCCGTATACATGATTCTATCATATTTTTAAACTTTGCAAAAACTTTCATCAGCTGCTGCTGCTCAGTGGTTGAAAGGTTCGCATTTGTAATCCTAGCCTTAACATCATCCAAAGAAAATTTTGATGGTATATATAACATCTTGACTTGAGCCCACAAGAAAAATATCTAATGGAGACAGATCAGGTGACTGAGGTGGTCATGCAAGAGCATCTGTTCTACTGGTCTGAGAAAATTCTATCTAGGAACTGTTGTAACATTCAGTGCATCCCAAAGTGTCCTATCTGGTTAAATTAAAATAGAAAATGTATTATTCAAAATTCATAAAACTAAATATAAAAGAAATTTAAATAAATATTAAATTATTTTTTAAAGTTTGTAGCATTACATTTTTGAAGTTATTATAGCTTAAAACTACACTAAGACTGGGGCAGCTAGGTGGCCCAGTGGATAGAGCACTGGCCCTGGATTCAGGAGGACCTGAGTTCAAATCCCCTCAGACACATAACACTTACTAGCTGTGTGACCCTGGGCAAGTCACTTAACCCCATTGCCTAGCCAAAACCAAAAACTACACTAAGACTTTTGGGCCACTTTCTATGTTCTGCCCTCTGTGTATGATACTGATGTCACTTATCTCCATCGAAGTTCTATTCTGAAGCCTCATTGGGCACCGAGAAGGTTCCTGGGGTTCTTGAAAGCTATGCAATGGAGCACACCTTCAGACAGATCCACCAGACTGGAAATACTTAGAATTTGGCCCTGGCAGCAACACTTTATATCTGCTCTCTGAGAACCACCTTGGCTAAACTCGGAGAGGCTTAGCGGCAGAACATTTGCCATCACGTGATGAATTTTCTCACCCAGAGAAATTCATAAACCTGCTTGCTGAGGATATTGTAATCTGTTGATGGAAGAATATGGGCCAGTGATGCGCCGACTTAACCGTTGTGTAGACTCTCTGTTGTTTTTCTAGCATTGGTAAAGAAAGGATTGTCATTGCTTCATTAGAACCTTCTCGCCTGGACCCTCCTTTTGTTCCTCGGACATACGTGTGAGACGATTTAGTAGCTAGTTAATTGTTGTTGGATTGCTTGAGTTAATCCAAAATACTGGAAAAGAGAATTTGAGGGGCTTGTCCAAGATCATATAGCTAGCAATCAGCAGAGCCGGTGCTTGAATCCAGACCCCCTGATTCCAACTCTCATACTCAGTGCTCATATCTTTCATCTTTCCTTCAAGGAGCTGAATTATTTTTATAAATACCTTCTGATGTGTCCTCATAAATGACAGATGTGAATTTGATGGAGGCAGAAATAATAGCTCCCATTTTATACATGGAGAAGCCAATGATAGGGACTTTAACTTTTCTCAAATAATCTGGTTAATTAGATCTTGTACATTAGAAGTAGACTAAAACTGGGTTCTTCTTTCCTTGAGGCCACCCCATTGCTGTGTATTAGCAGAGCCAAGAATCCTTCCCAGACTAACTAACACCTATGTCGTTCGCACAAGGCTTTTTTTTCCCTTAAAGTTGATATCCTCAAACCAGGATTCCTTTTGGACATTATGCTAATTATAAACCCACAAGATCCCAAATAGACATGGATTAGAGTTTCAGGGTGGACCTCGGAAAGATTATAGGGAAAAAAGAAGTGATCCTCCTTTTTCCTGTTATGGCAGAAAGATTCTGTGATATTGCTTTCTTTACTGAGATAACGAAAGCCTCCTGTTCATCTCTGCTTCTTGGTCTAGCCAATGCAGGGAGTTTGTTCCTAGGGACATCAAACTTGAAGCTTCTCTGAGCTTTGGGCACTCAGAAAGCTTTCCTCCCCAGCAATGCTGATAAACATGCAGCTGATAGGAAGTCAGTGGCGTGCACTGTTGCCAGTGTTATTTATTGTGTAGATTTTTTTAGGGGGGAGCGTGGGACATCCGGTTGGGCAGTAGGAAAGGTAAGTGTGTTTCCTTGCCCCCTCTTTCTCATTCTCCCTTTGAGGGAAATTCCTTATGCTAGCAATAGGAACGTCTGGGGTGTGGTGAACTTTTAAACGCTGCTCTGAGAGACCCAGCTGGATTCAACTCTGCGTTTGCTCATACCAAGTTGTGGGAAGGGAAGATCACTGTAACAAAGAGTAAAATAGGAGGGTTCATTAGCAGAACTGTCTAAAAACTTCAAATAAAGAAATACAAAGTAAACCCTGCTGCAGTCAGTCCTGTCTATACAAAGCTCCTTTTTTTTTTTTTTAAATAGAGAACCTGGCCTTTCTATAGTTGTCCTCCTTCGGAAATAAGGGAGACAGTATTCACTGTTGGGGTGTTGGAAATATTTCCTGTTCATGCTGTGCTTCAGTCCAGGTTCTGAATACTACATGTTTTGACAAAACCTGGGAAAATTGGGGGAGAAAAGAAAACAAATGAAAGGGAGAAACGAGATGATTCCTTTTGGAATTTAATTTTCTGAAAGGATGATGATTTTTTTCTTCCCTATACCCATTCTCCCACATGTAAAATAAGGAGAATTCTTGTTCATAGAAATATTAAGAGAGGTGTTCTGGGAAGCAAGAAGACATTGTGACTAATTAGCTCATTTATCCCCTCTTTTGAAATTTGTAAACATGTCCTCTGTGAGGGCAAGTGTGGGGCCAAACTTGCTATAGTCTGGTTTCCTGCTTTCAACAGCTCTCTATGGGTCTGAACTCAAGGACTATCAGAATAGGGAAAGACAGCAACAGCAAAACTCTGCAGAAACTCCCCCCTCCCCACTCTCCCTGAAAAGGAAGTGTTAAAATGCTGCTTCATGATATTCTTCTTCAAATGTTGATATATAATTTTGCCTAAGAATGGGAAAAACACTTGTCTAGCAACTATGTCTTAGACCCCTTTAAAGAGTGGTCATTTCATTTTACTTTTTCATATATTTAATAAAGTCCAGAATCACTAATTTTCTATAGGGAAATGAAATATTTATAGTTTTTAATGTAATATTAAATAGAGATATAGGGGACACAATGTTATTGGATAGTCTTGAGATTTACATATACACACATATTATGTACATATGGAAATACATATATGTACACATGTCTATACTATGTATATATAGATATGTGTATATGTGTCTGTGTCTGGCATATATACATATACATCTATGTCTATATCTATATCATCTATATATATATACATATACATCTATGTCTATATCTGTATCATATACACACACACACACACACACACACACACACACACACACGCATAGTATATTACAGTTTTCCAAAGTGTCCTAATGTCTGCCATGGGAGTGAGGAATTAACAAATTCATCATTCCTCTGTTTATTCTTAGATTCCAAACTTAAATATGAGCTTATTTAATTCAAGATTCTTATGATATGAATTCAGGACTTACATAACATAAACACGTCTGTGAAATCCTAAAAGGTTCATTCATTCATAGATAATAATGGCCTATTAATCAAAAGCATTTTAGCTAACAAAACATAATCATTTGAAGAGTAAGCATAATAGGTTATGAACTCACTAGTTTCTTAGTTCTTTTTTTTTTTTGCTAAGGAAATAGCTGTAGAGATATGTCAAACACATATTACTTTGTGTGTGCTCCTATCATCTTCCATTATACTCATCATTGTCGTTAAATATTATAGTCCATGATAGGTAAGCCCAATTTTTTAACGATGATGATGATGATAGCAGCATTTACATAGTCTTTTAAGGTTTGTGAAGTGCTTTACAAATTTTATTTCATTTTATCCTCATGACAACACTGGGAGGTAGATGATATTATCCCCATTTTATAGATGAGGAAACCAAGTCAGACAAAGGTTAAGTGACTTGCCCAGGGTCACACAGCTAGTAAGAGCCAGATGCTGATTTGAGCTTAGTCCTTCCTAACTGGCAATCTAGAATTCAGTCCCCTGCACCACCTGACTGCCTACCAGAGATCTACAACCTAGAATGAAGGATGTTTGTATCCTTCCCTGGTATATTATGCAGCCTTTTTGTTCAGCTTGCTGTTGGATCAGCAAGTCTTTGTGATGAGAAGCAAAGATTGAGATAGCAGTCATACTGCATGAAATTTAGTGTGGTAAATGTCTTTGTAATATGCAGTTTGAGTTTAAGACCTTTGAGTGCAAAGTCAAGTCCTAATACCACTTGAGACTGTTGATTTTGCGCTATTCCATGGTCAAAGACAACACTTTCAACCTCAGACATATGTTCCCTTGGTCATAAAGAAACTGAAGTCCAAGAGTGTGGATTAGAATTTATTAGAGCAAACTAGAATAAATTAGAGCAAATTCATTATTACAATGGAAAACCAAGCCATAGTGCATGTGCTGCTGATCGATGGTGGATTGGGTGACATCTTTGATTATGAATTGTGTGTGAGGAACAGAGAGAAGGCCCGTTCAGCTATATCACATGTGCAGGAGGGGAATTAATGTATGATAAGAGGGGAGGGATAGGTTGGAGCCAGGCAATGTTGGTCTTTAAAAGTTAAACAGAGGCATTTACATTTAATCCTAGAGATAATTAGAAGCCACTAGATCTGATTGAGCAGATGATCAGATCTATGTTCAAGAAAAATTACTTTGGTAGAAACGTGTGGGATGGACTAGAATGGGGATAGGTTTGAGGCAGGGAGACCTGTCAGAAATTTCTTGGAAAAATCTGGGCCCTGGTGATCAGGATCTGAACTAAGATGGCAGCTACGTCTGAAGAGAGAAGGGGTAAGATTTCAGAGATATTGTGAAGGTAGACACAAGAAGATTTGGTAAAATGTCCCTGTCATGGATTTTGTGGTCACAATTTCAAGAGATTTAGAACTGGAAAATCTATTACCCCGCACATCCATTACCCAGAACTGAGTTTCTGCACTTTTATTTATTTGCACCTCCAAAGCAGGTGAGGAGAGATAATTTTTTTTCTCTCTCTCTTCTCAGTGCAATTGCCTCCATCTTGAGGGCCTGGCTGGACCAGTGTGCTGAAGACTTCCGGGAGCCGCCTCATTACACTTGCTTGCAGAAGCTGCTAGACTATCTTAAACGGACCATGCCAGGCTCTGACCCTGAAAGAAGAGCACAAAACCTGCTGGAGCAGTTTCAGAAGCAGAATGTGGAAACTGACAGTAAGTTTCTTTACTTAGGAGTGAAAAAGTTCTTGAACCAGATTCTTAGATCTGCTTATTAGTACAGGCTAGTAGATAGAATACTAGACTTGAAGTCAGGAAGACCTGGGTTCAAATCCTGTCTCTGATTTGCCTTATGATTGTGGACAAGTCACTTAAGTTCTTTGAGACATAATTTTTTATCTATAAAATAAGGATAATGAATACTTTAGCTGCAAGAATTGTTTTGAGGTTCAAATGGGACAAAGCATATGAAGTATTTTGCCAACTTTAAAGGCTGTGTAAATGCCAGTTTTTATTATTACTAGAGAGAATGTTTTTATGATAATCTGTAGAGATAAGGTAATTCTGTTCTTAAAAGAAAGGCACAGCTTATGCAGAATTATTAGAAGCATGCTGTGTCTCTCAAAGGAACAATTTCCCCCAATGGTTATTGAAAAAGTAATCAGAGTAATAGAATATTAGAGCTGGAAGGGATTCTTAGCAACCACCTTCTTCAAAACCTTCTTTTTGTGGTTGAGGAAGCTAAGACCCAGAGAGATGAAACTATGTTCTGGATAAGGTAGGTTTCTTAGAGGTGTTGGGGGCCAACTTGTTTAGGTTCTGGTTAAATTTGTGGTTATGCATGTTATTGATTGCCTGTCCATTTGTATGTGCACCAGGTAATCGTTTAGGCCTACCATACACTTGTCCATGTACGCCCTAGTGCTACCTTACATCTCAAATAACAATGTCCACATCACAGAGATGCTTTAAGAGTTTCTAGCAAACAAGGGGTTAAATTATGGTCAGTAGCTCTTCTCTCAGAAGCATGGAAATGGAGTTTCTCTTTCTCTTAATATGGAAATGGTCTCATTCTTTCAGCTTGGAAAGTGTCACTGTGATCTGCCCTCTGCCAACACCAATTACAGTCCTGTCCTTTAGCATCTTCTCCAACTGCTGCATCAAAGGAAATAAATGTGGTTGTTTTTTCCTATTTGACAACTGATTGCCTCCATCTGAGGACAAAGGACAGACCTATAGCCCAGGTCACATATTGGCCCAACCAGTTGTGAGTCCATAGTAACTCGGAGAAGGACCTGTATGCAGTTCCCGGCTGACTCGTTGTCTGCTTCCTGCTTAGAGAGTTTCCTTTGGCCTACAAGCCCACTTCCTGGTTTGCTGTGGCCACTGCTGCTGAGGCTACTGACCAACTTGGAGCTCCTGAAATGTACTTCCTGAAAGCAATGGCCGAAATTGTCAGAGGAGGGACAGGAAACAGCTCATGAAATAGTGATCAGGGGAGCTCAGCAGCTGCAGAAAACAATCTGACATTCTGCATCACTACCTGTTGGATATTCCATGTGTTGGGGGCAAAGGGAGCAGGGGAAGGGATGAGAGAGGCGGGGTGGACCTTATTAAGAGGTCAGTTGCCAAATACCATACTGGGGATGACTTCATCTGTTTAGAATGTTTGAATGCTAGGGCCTCTCCTATAAAAGCCAGAATCCAGGCTCCCTTTGGGGCCTCTTCATTTTGTCTTTTTGTTGGAGTAGAGAACACCAGACCAGACCACAGCTCGGCTCATTGGTGCTGCTGCTGGCTCCAGGCCTAATTGGGGTACCAATGGGATCAGTCATTCATTGTTTCCAACCAGGGCCCTGGAAGGCAGAGTTAATTTGGCATGGCTTAGGGGACATACAGAGGTCAGGGATAATTCCTGACTTTGGAAAGATTTTAGGCAATACCTAGGAATGCATTTTCTTGGGTTTGATTAGGAAAGGCTAAACCAAAAATATCTCTAAAGTCTGTTTATTAGGTGCAGGGATCCTAATTGAAAAGTTGTTTCGAGAGCCAGACTCCAGGGTAAAAGGCTTTGTGTTTGCCTTCCCCCCCTCCCCCTGAAAAGGCTATGAGTTTTCTGTGGGTTTTGCTGATTTATCCTCACGTTCTGTGGGGAGGGAGAGAAGCTTAAAAATGCACTAAGTCTACAACCTCCTGCCCAAATAACCCTTACAAGATTTGGAGGCCTAGAGGCTGTAGAGACCCCCAGGGACTCACCAGGAAATCACAGAATGGAGGCTGCTGTTAGTGGATGATCCACTGAGGGATATTTACAGATTGTTTATCAGAGACCTTTAAGACTTCAGGAGCAAGCCATTTATTAGACATGACCACCAGTCCATTTTAAATCATTTGTGTAATGGTGGCCTGTGAGGTGATGGGGGGAGAGGGAGAGAGAGAGAGAGAGAGGGAGAGAGGGAGAGACAGACAGAAGGAGACAGAGACAGATGGACAGACAGAAAGAGAGAGAAGGGGGAGGAAGACACAGAGACAGAAAGGAAGGAAGGGAGAAACAGACCAGAAACACAAAAAAGAGAAGGCGAGACAGAGTCACAGAGGCAGACAAGACAAAGACAGACAAACAGATAAAAGAGAGAGAGAGTGAGTGTAGAATGAAGGCAGAGTTAGGACTAGAGAGACAGCCCAACAGCTTCTTCCTTTGTCTTTCTCTTTTTCTTTTATAAATACTGCCTGCAAAGGGGTTGGAAAGGTTTGTCCTCCTATTCCATTCAGTGAGGAGTCATTAAATACCACTTGCCTCTGCCCAAACTACTTCAGTAGCCTCCTATCTGGTCTCTGTATCCACTCTCTCCCTTCTGTGACCCATCCTCCATATAACTGCTGAATTGACATTCCTTAAGCATAGGTCTAACCATCACTTCTCTGATTAAGAAGCATCAGTGGCTCCCAGTGGTAGGTACAGCCCTGGCTCTGGAGTCAGGAAGACCTCAGTTCAAATGAGGCCTCAGAAACTTACTGTGTGATCCTAAACAAGCCATTTAACTCGTGTCTGCCTCAGTTTCCCCAACTACAAAATGAGGATTGCAGTAGTACCTACCTCCTAGGGTTGTTGTTAGGCTCTAATGAGATATTTGTAAAGCACTTAGCACATAGTAGGCACTTAATTTAAAAAAAATTTTTTCTCCTTCCCTCCCTTCCTCCCTATTGCTTCTAGGGAGCAAATACAAATTCTCCATGAATGAAATTCTTTGCCTTTACACAGACTGTCACCCTAATACTTGGGATGTTCTGCCTCTTCCCCTTGGCCCGTGGGAACCCTCAGTTCCCTTCCAGGCTCAGCTAAAGTGCCACTTCCTTCAAGAGGTCTCTCTCAGTTCCCCCACTCACTTTAACCCTAAACCAAATGCTGTGTCTATTTTTAAAATTTGTTTTTCATACATTCTGTGTTTACTTACCTGTAAGCATGTTATATCCTCCAGTAGAAAGTAAGTTTAACGAGGGCAGGAGCTATTTAACTTTTGGCTTTGTACCGCTAGCACCTAGCTTATTTATTGATTGATCAGTTGATTCTATTTGTAATGGCCTGAGGTAAGTGTAGATAGCACATAGCAAGGGGAAGGCTTGTCTTAAAGTTTCACTAAGGACTCCATAATTCTATTTCCTTACAGTTTAGTGGGTCTGTATCTCACTGATATAAGTCTTCTTCCATTGGTACAGGTCACAAGCCATCTATGTTTGCCTTCTCATCCTATGAGATGTTTGTGAACAGTCTACCAAAAATCCTCCGTCTAGTTTGCTAGAGGCCTTCCTATTGGCTCTTTTTACATTAAGTAGTTGCCAGTAAGCATCCAGACTGTACATTTGTTGTCACTCATTTTTTTTCTAAATGACCGGCTGATGTTATCAGGTTATATATTTCTTAGATACTATCCCTTATTCCACTTTATTTCACTTATTATGCAATGGTCATCACTAGAAATATGCTTCAGCCTGTTTATACTTAGCATGTAGCTATACATTACCCTTAAAGTTACCAATATTTTTAATTCTTCAAAGATTATGGTATTTCCAGATTCATAGCCATAGCATAGCACTATTGGTACAACATTGCTTTTCTGTCGGGAAACAGCTTGGAAATGACTAAAGTGTTTCATAATTCCCCAAACAGGTCCCTCTCTTATGTCTGCTTAATTATGATCCCTGAAGTTTAATTCAAGGACATTTGCATAACTGGACTGATGTAGGTGGACTGATGGACTGATGTAACAACAGTGAACTGGCCAGCCCTAGTTTTTCCTATACGGATTACACACAAATTTCTTTGGAGTTGTCATATGTCTTACTGAGGAGACTCTTAATATTCTAGCGCTTCAACCAGTCAGTATAGTCATCCTTCACAAAGAGGAATATCTGAAGAATCTCACCTTCTATATCCAGAACTCTTCATCTAAGGTCCCCTTTGGGTTCTGTGGATAGATTTGAGGGAGTCCATGAATATGGATGTGAAAAAATAATCTTTATTTTCACTAGCCTATAAGTTAAAATTTATCATTTCTTCAATTATGAATGTAGGCAACAAACCATTATTTTGACAAAGAGTCCAAAGACTTCACCAGCCTACCAAAGGGCTCCCTGACACACAAAGAAGATTAAGAACCCCTGATCTATAGGGAGGGAATCTACAAAGATATTGAGGGTATTAGATCTCTGGAGTCAGAGAGGCTCACTGAATTTGATAAGAGTTGTTTTTCTTTACAGTGTTGCAATCATTGCACAAATGGTTCTACTGTTCCTGTTTGCTTCATTCTGCACTAGTTCATATAGATTTTCATAGATTTCTTTAAATCCATCCCTTTTGTTCATCCTTGTTTTATAGGAAGAAATTGGGCTAATCTTTCTTTGTGGGAAAAATCCATAATTGATGGCAAGATCTATGTGTAGGTAGTTATAAGCTACTGATTTTAAATATAAATAATTTTTATTTCATGGACAGATGGATTTCATAATGCTCTCACCTTCAGTCTGGAAGAAGAAGAGGATCTAGAGGGTGGTGGATCAAGTGAATTCACTTTATTCCCAGAGGACCTTGTGGCAGAACAGCTGACCTACATGGATGCAGTATGTACTATCATTCTGCCGTAGATAGATAAAAAATTTGCTATGGTTCATGGGAGGATGAAATGGTTAATGAGATTTATTTTCAGTATTTTCAAGTCTTTGATAATTGTAAACTGTGTCTATCTGTACAGAGCAAAACAATTTCATGATTAATTCAAGGAAAAAGTTATTTTTTCCTCTGAATGATCTAAAATTTTATAAGAATGTGTGTATGTATGTGTATGTATGGATCATAAAGAAGTCAGAGAATGAGGTAGGATGGAATAAAGTCACTTATTCCTCATGTTATATCCTGTAGCTAATTTTTATAATAGCATAGCTGATATTTTTGTCATTCCATAGATAATCGACTCACTGAAGTTTCAGGCCACACTGTAGTTAGAATTATTTCAGAAATGTGATAGGGACTTTTAAAATTTTGGTTTGTTTTTACTTCCTACCGCTGTTGAGTCAGTGGGAGATAACTGTGTTCCCATGCCGCTTCTCCTAGTGCCAATGAGATTCTAATACTATAAAGGAATTAAATCCACTGTAATTGTCTAAACAGTATGTTGGTATGGACAAAAATATGGGATTCTTCATTGTCTGTTATGATCATATTCCCTTTGGAGGTAAGAGAAATAGGTCACCATGATGGTGAAGGGTCTAAAGATCACGTTATATGAAGATTGCTTGAAGGATCTGGGAATGCTTATCCTGGCCAAGAGAAGCCTTTAGGATGGCTGTCTTCAAGCATTTGAAAAGTTGTCATGTGTAAAGGGGATTAGGCTTGTTTTCCTTGGAGCCATTAGGGCAGAAGTAGAAGTAATGGGTAGAGTTTGTGAAGAGACAGATTTCAGTCCTTTGAAAATTCCAGATGTGGAATATGCTATCTCAGGAGAAAGTGAGTTTCCCCTCATTCAAGGTCTTCAAGTTAAAGTGAACTACTACCACTTGTTGGCTCTATTGAAAAGGAGATTCTTGTTCATATGTGAGTAGGACGATGACTTTTTAAATCCTTTCCAGGTCTGTGATGTTTTGATTCTCTGAACCCTGGAATTCCATGTAGTATGAAAAGGGGTTCTATCATATAATTTTCTGGCTATCAATATTTTTCCTCTAAAATATTAAACATGAGTATAAACTATATGAGTATAAACTACTTCTATGCAGCAATTTTTCAATGTGAAAAGTGCCTTGGTTTCCTTTGTTTTGCTGCAGAATTTCCCAGCCCTTCCCTTTTGTCTCAGAGGTATTCAAGGCACCGGGCATAGAAATGGAAAAAATGACACAATACCCATCCTAGCTTAATGGAGAGGATATGACATGTCTATACATCAATGTGGCCTCTAATAGGACATAGGAGACATCAAACAGTGTGCTGTAGGGAAACTTGAGGAGCGAATGCTTACTTTCAGCTTGGGAGATCAGAGAATGCTTCACAGAGGGTAGCACTGACCAGGGCCTTGAAGAAAAAACGGGCTGAGGTGGGGAAGGAGTACATCGTTGTGGGCATGTTACCTTCATGGAGGTGGGAGAATGCAGGATGAGCTTGGGGAAATTGTCTAGTTTGGCTGGAACTAGAGTATGTGGAGGGAGTATTATGAAAGGAGGCTGGAGAGATAGGTTGGAGCCAGGTTTTTAAAAGGCCTTAAATGTTAAGCTAAGATGATCACTTGAATTTACATCCAGTAAAACTTCATAGTTTTCAAAGTGCTTTACATATATTACCTATTTTGACGCTCACAATAACCCCGTGAGATAAGCGCTCCTGTCATTATGAGACCTGTTTGACGCTTGAGGAAGTGGAAGCTCAGCAAGTTTGTGATGCACTGCCAGGGCTACAGAGCTGTGTCAGAGTCAGAAATCCAGGTCTTTGCTAGTTCCAGGTGCAGTGGGTGTTGTTGTTGTTGTTGTTGTTGTTGTGGTCGCACTGTTGTGGACAGAGAGTGGCATACATCTGTGCATGAGAAATATTATCTTGGCAGTTGTGTGAAAGATGGATTAGAAAGGGGAGTGGACAGCAGCAGGGAGATGTTAGGGGGCTATTCTGGCAGTCCAGGTGCGAGGTTATAGAGACGTAAGCTGGAATAGTTCAATGAAGAAGAAGGTACTTATTTGAGAGATATTGTGGACATAGAATTGAGAGTATAAATGGGGTGAGAGCATGAAGGAAGAGTCAGAGATAAATCAGGTTTAGAGCTCCAAGGGTAGCATGGCACAGTAGAAAGAACACTTAGTGGGGAATCAGAGGATTTGGGTTTGAATCCCTGGCCTGCCCCTTACTACCTGTGTGACTTAACCTTTCTGGCCTCAGTTCCCTCGTCTGTAAGATGAGATTGTACTGTGTGAGCTCTGAGGTCCCTCCTGACTCTCTCAGTATAGGATCCTCAGCCTGAATGACTATGAGAATGGGGTACCATAGTCAGAGATAGGGAGGGAGCAGAGTTTAGGGGCAAGGAGGGTAATTCCGTTTTGAGGTTGAGGTGGGACATGAATGGTAACATCAACAACAAGCAAGTATTAAATTTTTGCTGTGTCCCAGGCACTGACTGTATTGAGTGCTGAAGACACAAAGAAAGGCCAGAAAATAGCCCCTGCTCTCAGGGAGTTCATGTTCTACTGGCAGGAGCTGACATGCAGACAACTATGTGCAAATAAGCCATATCGAGGATATAGTAGAGCTAGTCTCTGAGGGAAGGCACTGGCATAGGAAGACCAGACGGGGCTCCTTGCAGAAGGTGAGACTTTAGCTGAGGCTTGAAGGAAGCCACAGAAGCCAGGAAGCAGAGATGAGAAGGGAGAGCATTCCAGACATGGGGAACGCTCAGTGAAAATGCCCAGAGTTGGGAGATGGAATGTTTTGCTTGAGGAACACCAAGGAGGTCAGTATCCCTGCATCACAGGGTACATAAGAGTGCAGAAAAGTATAAGAAGACTGGAAAGATTTGTGTGTGGGGGGGGACAGGTTATGAAGTCTTTGAACACCAAACAGAAGGTTATATATTTGATCCTGGAGATGATAGGATGCCACTAGAGTTTATTGAGTAGAAGGGGGGGGTGATATAGCAGAACTTCACTTTAGGAAAATCACTTTGAGAGCTGAGTGGGGACAGGCTTAAGGAAGAGAGATCAACCAGAAGGCTTTCGTAGTAGTTAAGGTATTTGATGTTGGAGACCTGCACTGGGGTGATAGCAGTGTCAGTGGAGAGAAGAAGGCATATAGGAAAAATGTTGTGAAGTTAGAATAGCCAGGACATGCCAACCCATTGGATATGAGGGATGAAAGAGAGTGAAGAGTTGAGGGTGACATCTAGGTTGTGAATCTCTGGTGAGTGGGATAGGGATATTTTGAAAGAGGGTAAGGATTTTTGGGGAAAGATAATGCATTAAGTTTTGAACATGTTGAGTTTAAAATGTCTATGACATACTCAGTTTGAGATGTCTAATAGGCAAGACCATAGGTCAGATGCAAGAAAGAGAGGTTGAAGGTGAATAAAAAGGTTTGAGAATTATCTGCACAGAGGTGGTAATTGAATCTATAGGAGCTGATGAAATCACCAAAGGAATCGTATAGAGGGAGAAAGGGAGAGGGCTCAGGACAGAGCCTTGGAGCTCACACACTGTTAGTGAGTACAGCCTGTCTGAAAATCCAGTAAAGGAGATTGAGGAGTGTTCATATTGGTAGGAGACCTAGAAGAGAACAATACCACAAAAACCTAGAGAGAGGAGATCAAGGAGGAGAGGGGGACTAACACTCAAAAGTTGTAGAGAAATCAAGAAGGATGGGGAATAAGAAAAGACTTTTAGATTTGGTGATTAAGAGATCCTTGATAACTTTGGAGAGAGAAGTTTTGATTGAATGATGGAGTTGGAAGGCAATTTCTGAGAGTTAAGAGATTGAGAGGGGACACTAATCATAGGCAGCTTTGCCAAGGAGTTGGATAGTGAATTGTCTTGAGAATACGTATTTGTATTAGAGCTAATTAGTGAGGTTTGGTAATTTTCTCTAGTTTCATTCAGCAGCACAAGAATAGAAATGAAGGCAGTGGATGATGGAAGTAATTCAAATCTGGGGCTTGACATGGTGAAATAGGATAAGAGGAAAAGGGACTCCACAGTAGTGGATAGAGTTGAACTGGTTCACCAAAGCAGTCAAGATGGGGAGTGGAGGAAAATACAGCCGCTGCAGCAGTGAAGACCTCAGAAGGGTGTGAAGTAAAGACAGTGAACAAAGTTATGGGTTGTACAAAGAGGGAAAGATGGAATGACTAAAAATTATATGATCAGATAAAGGAATTTCAAAATTATTAGCTATGGAAATATAACATTTGCAAACCATGGCAAGATCTAAGATATGGCCATACCTGTGAGGAGCTGAGCTAGGGTGAAGGAATAGGTCATATGAAATGAATACATTGAGGAGCTGAGACATAAGAGTGTTTGAGGGAGTATCCAAATGTATGTTGAAGTCTTCTAGTGTGAGAGCAGGAATTAGGGAGGAAAGATTGAAAACTAGGCATTGAACTTGTTGAGGAAGGACAGAGAATGTCCTGGAAACAATTATCTGTGATTACAGCTACCAGGATTTTAATTAGGTAATGAATATAGATAGAATGAACCTCAAAGGAGAAAAAGTTACTGAGTGGTAGTGGTAGAGGGAGAATCTGGAAGAAGCATTGTGGGAAAGAAATTGTTCCTACTTCCCACCACAATCAGTTATGGGGGAAGGTAGGCAAGTGAAAGTGCAGCTGGTGCTGGAAAGGATGGGGGAGGGGGCACTATGTCATCAGGAGGGAGCCAGGTCTCTGTGAGTGAAAGAAGATGGAAAGAGAGAAAGGAAAAGACTTAAGATGAAAGTTACCTATGGAGCAGGCATTGCATAGGGCACAGTGGAAGGGGGAGTTAGGATTCAGAGGTTTAGGAATGAAGGAATGGCAGCAGGGAATGTAGTATCTAGAATTACAGCTGAAGCTTCAGAATCACTAGGATAGGGAGAGGATGACTGGGTAGGAGTGTGCTAATCATTGGAGGAAAAGTTCAGGCAGATAGTCTGCAGGCAGCCAGGGGAGCCAGTGGTGAAGAGTTACACATATGGAGGTGGTTCCAAGGAGAGAGTCACAAAATGCTGACATTGCCTCAGGCTGGGTTGTTCTGGGGCTCAGGCAGCAGTGTGTAGGAGGAAGGGGAGTTGGGGAGGGCTCCCCACATGGGGCAAAGCAACCAGTTTGGAATTTGGTGTTGAAGGAAGTAAGATTTTGAGGATTTGGTAGATTTGGGCAAGAGACAGTCACCCCAATTTAATTAGTCAATAAGATATATTAAACACTTATTAGGTGCCAGGCACTATCCCAGGGCTAGGATACAAGTACAACAAATAAAACAATTTCTTCTTGCAAGGAGGCACCCGGTAGGATTCTTGACTCTTAGCTGTGTGACCCTGGGCAAGTCCCTCGACCTCACTTAGCCTCAGTTTCCTTATCTATAAAATAAAAATAATAAGGACACCTACCTCCCAGAGTGGTTGTGAAGATCAAATGAGATTTTATATATGTATGTACATATGTGTATATATATATATATATATATATATATATATATGCAAACCATAATGTACCATATAAAAATCATTATTATTATAATTTATAATAATAATAATAAAAATATAGGCCCAGAACAGGAATATTGGTTCAGTCGGGACAGCAGGGAGGGATATTGAGGGATTGGAGGTTGTAGTGAAAGTAAATAACAAGTTTAGCAAGAGTAGAGGTAGAAATGACATTATAGTTAGAGAGGTCAGGACGCTAGAAGAAAAGTAATTTCTGATGATGGTGAATTCTAAAGAGATGGAAGATATGCCTTTGGGTGGCCCAGGCAAAGTGGAGATGGAGTTCATGGGAGTTGAAGAGGTTGATGGACTAGAAGGCCAGGGTATTAGAAGGATTGAGACCATGGATATTTCATGTCCTTAGAGCCCTCCTAGACCAGCACTTATTATGGAGGAAGTGTGTTATGGTGGGAAGAGCAGTGACCTTAAAGTCAGAAGACCTGGCTTTAAGTTTAGGCTTTTACATTTACTAGCTGTGGGTCTCAGGGCAAGTTATTTAAACTGTTTGAGCTTAAGGTACTTCATCTTCAAAGTGGGGATAATAATATTTGCATTACTTACTTTATGTGTATAGTAATTATTTTTAAAATAAATTTTATTGATATCTTTTCCTTTGATATCACCTATATTTCCCACTCTGTCCCTTCCCCTACTCTCTTTTTAAATGCTTTAATCCTTAAAACATTTATATAAATGTGAACCATGTGCAATTGTGTTGGGTCCAACTGTTCTGTGGTGAAATGAGTTTAGGAAATGCAGATTTAATGAAAGTGCTGATAAAAGACACCCTAACTAACAGATTCTACATATTAATTCTCCTAGGCCAGTGGCCTATCTGACATACAATCCTATAGTCATCTTGTAATAGATTGGTATAAAATAGGACAATTCATAGCTACAGAGAGATCACCTAATTGAGGATTTATTGTTTGTACAATAACCACGGTGAGAGAGGCATCATGATATCATGAGCAGATATTTGGCCTTGGGGTCAGGGAGACCTGGGTTTGAGTCCTACCTCGATGCACACAGGCTACGTGTTCCTTGGCAAGTCTCTTAACCCTTCAGTGCCCTAGGTGATTGAGACTGGAAATTATACAACCGTAGTTATCTGCATTGGTAGAAAGAAATTCTTCTTGGGGAGTTCCTTAGATCACCATTCTTTCTTCCCCCTTTGCTCTGTGACTCTTGCATGAAGCTTTTTATCTTGTTTGTACTTTATTTTCCTCCATCCAAAAATAGTGATAATTAATGACACTTTTGCTTTTATAGGGAGATGTACTACCATTGATAAAATTTTAAATGGTTGACATAAGCCCTATCAGAAATATGGGATTGAAAGTACTTAGGGCACACTGTGGATGTTGCTTTAAGGTGATAGAATCATAGCACCTTAGCAGTGGAAGGAAGCTCAGAAACTATCAGGTCCACAGTGAATGAATCACCAACATAACATCCCCTTCAAGCAGTAGTCTAGCTTGTGCTCCAACACTTTCAGGGATGGAGAATTTCTTATCTTAGGAGGCAATCCCTTTGATTTTTAGGCAGCTCCAATTGTTAAACACATTCTTCTTTACTGCCTTCCTTGTAGTGGCTACACACTGGCACCAGCCCTTTCCTCTGGAACTCAGCAAAATACTTCTACTTCCTCTTCCACTCTTTTCAAGTATCTGAAGACTGCAATTATATCTCTCCCCCCAAATCTTTTCTCCCGTAAGCTAATTAGCACCAATTCCTAGTCATTAGTCCCATCCTGCTAAGTCTCAGTGATAGCCATGAGATCCTGTTCACTTCCCTGAGTGTTAAAGTGTCAGGTTCACATTCTTTATTGCCTATAGCTGGGTAAGTCACTCAATCCCTCAGTGCCCCAGGCAGCTGTCTAAGACTATAAGTTATAGATCAGTTGCTCAGCTACATCAGTAGAAGGAGTTTCTTCACAAGGAGCTCCCTATGCTGGTAAAATCACAGGTCTAGACTAAAAAAAAATTAGCATAGTATATTAGCAGATATTAACAGCTTTTTTAACAGATAGATACAGGAAAACATAAACATTGACCTTATTATTCTTCCCTGTTATTTTCTTCTGTGAATTATTCTCCAAGAATCTTCAACTGCTTCCCTTGATCAGTAGTCCAGAGTCCTAGATGGCCTTGCCTAGCAGGTAGACAATATTAAGGTATTTTAAAGTTCCGTCGACTTATTTTTTGTCATTGATTTATGTCTGCCAATAATAAAATAAATAAAGTAATAAAAATAACAAACAAACAAACAAATAAATAAATAAAATCTATGAGATTTATTAAGAATACCAACATGGGTATTAATTATTTCTTTCTGTCTATTCAAGTGCATATAATAAGTCAAGCAAAAAGGGTTTATTTGTTCATTCATAAAATACCATTTTACAGATGACCCTGATGACGTGTTTTACCATATGAAAAAGTCTCTGTTGTCTTTAACATCAATTCTTCTCTTGTTCTAGGAACTGTTCAAGAAAGTAGTACCGCATCATTGCTTGGGCTGTATTTGGTCTCAAAGAGATAAGAAGGAAAACAAACATTTGGCTCCCACCATCCGGGCCACCATCTCTCAGTTTAATGCCCTCACCAAATGTGTCGTCAGCACCATCTTGGGAGGCAAAGAACTCAAAACTCAGCATCGGGCCAAAATCATCGAGAAGTGGATTAACATTGCTCATGTAATGTGCTTGCTTTTGTTAACCTTATTTATTCTCTCCAGTGATCCTAGAGTCCTATTTCATGGTTTAACTGTTGGACTTAAAAGGAAGTTTAAATATGGAAAGGGATATGGTTGTATTTATTCACACTAACATAAGACATAAAGTCATTATTTTTAACTAGAATCGGGGATGTCCTCTGGGATTGTTTCCTTTCACAAGCTCCCACACTACAACGCCCTCAGGGCAGGAGAAAACTTCCAGTTCCTTTTGTATCCTCCTGTGGGGTGAGCACCAGTACTCTGCATGCAGTGCTCAGTGGTAACTGACTAACTCTTTGATGGCCATTTCTCCTTTCAGCCCAAAAATTCTTTCCCAGACCTGTGACCATTAGTTCTTCCATAACTTGAGAGGTACCATTGGCCCACCAAGGTAAAAGAGGTCTTTGAGATCATTTAGCTGATCCCTCACAGCTTCCAGATGAGAAGACTGATGCTCAGACAGAAAGTGACTTGCCTATTCATGGTTGGTTACGCAGCCAGTAAAATGTCAGAGCCGAGATGCAAGCCCAGTCTCCTGCTTATTTACATTTCAGCATTCTGCCTCTCCTAGGTAGCTGGGTCTAGAGCTCATGTTTCCAAACTCTCATGCCAATGTTCTTTTCACTTCCTTTTTCAAAGGAGAGATGATACATTAGGCTTAACCCTAGAAAAACAGTGTCGTTCTGTGGGTAGAGCCCTGAGCCAGGCGTTACAGGTCTCAGATTCTAGTTCTGAAACTATTAGCCGCATGCAGTGTGACCTTTAATTTTCTATACTCCACTTCTTTGTCCTTTTACTTTCCATTAAATGGGAACCAATATTACTTATCTATTCATTTAGTCTGATGATATTTTATACATGAATGCACACATAGCACTTTGCAAACCTTAAAACGCTATGAATATTAGTTATGATTATGATTAATAGTAAGTAATGTTGTTATTGTTGTTGCCTAGACCCGTGATTGTTTTTGGTGTAGGGGACTCTCGATTTGGAAACTCCCTGCGCCAATCCAGACTGACAAATCTTTTGCAACTTATAGCTGGAAAACTAACAATCTTAGTTGCTGGGAATACTGAGAAGTTAATTATTTGCCCATGGCCACATAGTCAGTGAGTTTCAGAGGCAGAATTTGAACTCAGGTTTTCTTAACTCCAAGGCCTACTATATTATCTGCTGTGTCCTTCTGCTTCTCAAGTATAATAATTAACAGCTATTTATTAACACCAACCATGCACCAGAAGGATATAGTGGCTATAAAAGATAAAAGTTGCAAGCTCCTCCTCAAGCCCCCCACCCCTCGCTCTCAGGAACTCAAAGTCTTTGAGAAGAGTTAATAAATATATACATATAATTGAAATTCAGAGGAATTTGTGAGAAGTACATATGACACAATGTGTCTGAGGAGGAGGTTTAGGAGAGAGAGAAGAGATTGCTATAGGCTTTTTAGGAAAGAATTCTTGAACAAATTTGGCTCAAGTAGAGACTTGAAGAATGGTTAGGGCTTGAATATATCTAGAGGTGAGTTGGGGAGTAAGAATGATTCTTGGCAAAAAAAGGATCTGGACAAAAATGAACAATTATCAAAAACTATTATATAAATGTAGATAAGATACTGGCTATTGTGTTGCTCAGACAAGACACGTTTTTCTTTCTATTGCATTAATACTTCTTCAGTTACTTACTAAGAACAATGAGAAAATATGTTCTAAGTGATTCTATATTTGATAGGATCTTTGCTTTGGAGATGGGAAAGACCTTAGAGAGCTTTCTTCATTTTACAGATGAGGAAACAGCCCCAGAGTTGACTTCCCTTGCCCGAGGTTACGCAGGCATTGAGGGCCACACCTGGGATTGCTCTAACTCCACATCCAGCTGTCTTTCTGCTATGCCACACTAGTTTTCCACAATGTTTCCTCTCAGTAGCAAATTGGCAGACCCTGAAGATCTCATTCTGACGAATGACTGTAAAATCTATAGCAAGAACATGACACCTATGTGCATGTCATATTCTGTGCTTAAATAATAACTTATTGCAGTTAAAACATTTTTAAATGTGCAATTTAGTGACTGTAAAAGGCAATTTGACATAAGGCAAGTTGAAATATCTCGGATACTGTATATATATTTTTTAAAGATAGATATGTTATCAAAGATCTTGTCTCCTAAAGTTGAGCATATATCCTTGGCTCAATCTCTTAGAAGCATGGAATTCAAAGCTAATTCTATACTCAATTTTGTTTTCTTTTTCCTATATCATTTACATAAAGCCTTTTTTTTCCTATTGTAGGGTTATTTGGAAGAAAGCAAATCATTTTAGAAGCAAGAAAAAATATTCTGGCCAAACATGGTAGCTTTTACTTAGGTCAATCGGAATCCCCCCTTTCCACTTTTTGTTGTCACTTCCCCTGGAATATTCTTCTCTTTTCTAGAAATGTGGCGAGGTGCCTCCTTGTCCCCTTTGCTTAAATGAAGGCTCTTTTAGTAATACTTTCCATATGTTTATTACAATTTGGATACAATAGCTGGGCCTGAGTTCCTCTATTGCAAGTTTTTTCATTCTTAGAGGATGACTCTTGGGGGCTGACCTTTGGTGAACTATATTCACAGGGCTAGGCTTCTGGCACCATGATCTAGTGCATTTTTCTAAGAGAAGGACATTAAGATATTTATAGAGAAAGGGCATGAGTGGCTATTATGAATTACAGAGGTATTGGTTCTAAAGGCAGTGTCGGTTGGGTGTATGAGGTTGTTAGTTTGTTTGACATGGTTTTAAAAAGCCAAATTAGGGAGGTTGCCTTTCTTACCTTAGCATCAGTATCAAAACCTCTTCACTGATGTGACCCTCTGAGCAAGACAGGAGTAGGATCAGCCAGCTAGGGTGGTGCACAAAACTTTCTACGGAGGCTCCTATCTATGAAGTCAAGCCCTTGCTCACACAGAACACTGCTTTGCCTGAAAAGGCCTGTGTGTTGTAAACATGCCTTAGTATAGTGGCGTCTTCTTCTTCTTCTTCTTCTTCTTCTTCTTCTTCTTCTTCTTCTTCTTCTTCTTCTTCTTTTTTGCTTTTTAGTGAGCAATTGGGGTTAAGTGACTTGCCCAGGGTCACACAACTAGTAAGTGTCATGTGTCTGAGGCCGAATTTGAACTCAGGTCCTCCTGACTCCAAGGCTAGAGCTCTATCTACTGCGCCACCTAGCTGCCCCAGGCATCTTCTTTTAACAGAAGATATCAAACCAATCTGTCCATGACAATATTTGCCCTCTATGGGCTGAGACTGGGGCCCTGTATGACAAGAGACATGAGGCCTTCCTTGATGATTTGGCTTCTGAGAAGTGTATGTCTCCACTAGTAAAATTCCTGCAAAAAGTCTGTGGTTCCCAAGATCCTTTTTTTTTTTTCCTGATGAGGCAATTGGGGTTAAGTGACTTGCCCAGAGTCACACAGCTAGTGAGTGTTATGTGTCTGAGGCCAGATTTGAACTCAGGGCCTCCTGACTCCAGGGCTGGTGCTCTATCCACTTCATCACCTAGCTGTCCCCAAGACCCTTTTTTAAACTGCCAATGCTATAGGCTTCACATGGAAACTCAAGTTTCTTAAGGGGAACTCTGTCTTCTTACCCAGAATATAACATTCACCTTCTGCACAGTTTCTGTTTTGTTTTAAAATACTGCCAAAAGTGAATTTTGTTTTAAAACGTAGCTTGTTTTTGAAGCTCTGTAGTACAAATGAATGCGTCTTTAAAACACACACACACACACACACACACACACATATACACACACACACACACACACACACATATTTTCCCCTCTTGGCCTAGAACATGAAAGTCTAGGTTCAGCTTGTAGTAAAGTTTTACTGCCAAGTTATTATATATGTACACTGCTCTATATACACAAGCATTTGTAATGAGACAGGTGATGCCATTTGAACTTTCTGTAGATGCTGCCGTATTAAATGTGACTGGCAGCAGTCACCTGAAGCATGGTGCATTCATTTTTTTGAGTCAAGTTAACAAGCGTTTACTAAACACCAATGCTAGACACTGTGCTAAGCTCTGGGGATACGATGAAAAGGGAAAAAACAGGCCCTGCCCTCAAGGAACTCAGTCTAGTGGGGGAGACAACATGTAAACAAGTATACACAAATGAGATCTAGACAGAATAAATCGGTGATAATCTCAGAGGGAAGGCAGGAAGAATTTCAAGGGAGGCTGAGAAAGGCTTCTTGTATAAGATGGTACTTTAGCGAAGACCTGAAGCGCACCAGACAAACCAGGAGGTGTATTTTTTGTGTGGGGTGGTGGGAGGGGGAGCAGTATGTTAAGTCCATCTGAACATTTCCATTAGACTCACGATTGCTTTCTGTGACATGACTGTGAAGATTCACCTCTACTGTGTTTATATGAAGAAAGCTAGAAGCTGTAAAATTGTAATCGCACATACCAAAAATACATATATATCATATAATGCAATATATATGTGTATATACAGAGAGAGAGACAGAGAGGCAGAGAGAGAGAGAGAGAGGCAGAGAGAGAGAGAGAGAGAGAGAGAGAGAGAGAGAGGGGGAGGGGGAGGGGGGGGGAGGGGGAGGGAGAGAGAGAGAGAGAGAGGGAGAGAGAGAGGAGAGAGAGAGAGAGAGAGAAGTATTATGCCCAAAACTGTAAAATGTTTTTGGGGTTAGAGGAAGAAGTGAGGACCCTCCCCCACTCTTTTGATGTTGGGTATTTATACAGCTGCCTATTTAGTGGTGAGAACTCATAACAGCTGGGACAACTAAGGAAACCACTGACTTACCGTAATATTGATACTTAAATGTCTTTTATTTCTTAATCACTCCCTTTGCAGGAATGTAGGATCCTGAAGAATTTTTCCTCCTTGAGAGCCATCGTTTCAGCTTTGCAGTCTAATTCAATTTATCGGTTAAAAAAGACTTGGGCCGCTGTCCCAAAGTAAGTTCCCAGGTGTCTCTTCTAATTTTTTTTTCTTTTTTAGTAATTGAAGTAATTGTGAAATAAATGAATAAAAATATATTTAGCAAGCTAAATATGTCTCCATGGATACCTATCTTTAAAGTCCATTTTAGGGTAGGGGGAGAAAAACATTTGAGATTTTTCTTGTGTGGTAAGCAGGAGGGTGCATTTTGTATAATTCAAGTCAGCAAACCTGAAGACCCTAATGTATTTAACCTGGGGTAGTAGGTATTAGGGATTGGAGAAAAGAAAGATGAAAAATGATACAGGTGCCCCTGTGGAGCTTATGCTCTGACAGATGTTTGTGGCATGTAGAAATAAGTGTGCTGTGAGATAAATGGGATAAGGCCAAGGGAAAGCTGGACCAAGTGCCATAGGAATTTGTGAGGAGAGAGAGAATACTTTTAACTAAGTAACATTGCCAGACCTGTGCCTTATGAAGAATGTTTTGTGTGGAGGACAGCCTGGAAAGGTGAGAGACTGGAGGCAGAGAGGCCAGTTGGGATACTGTTCCATTAATTCAAATCTGAAGAGTCAGGACCTGAATGGAGAGAAGAGCAAAGCAAAGAGAGGAGAGCATGGATTCAAGAACTGCTTGTAGCAGAATCCAGATTCTACTGTTTGTCCATCCAAATGCACATTGAAATTTGGATAATAGTTTTAAGTCTTTCAAAGTTGTCTTTTCTCTCTTGTGATTTTTTAAAAATGCTACAATGAGTCTTTTCTTTCTTCTTTTTCCTGATATTCCTGTCACTAGTCCCCGTCTCCTTCCCAAGTCCTATCCATTAAATGAAGTCCCACTTTGTAATAAGTATAGTTAAACAAAATAAATCTGTTGATCCTGTCTAAAAATGTGCCTCTAAATCTGCCCCCAAAGTCCCTCACCTCTCTTTCATGTGGTAACATGCTTCATTTTTGGCCTTCTGGATTGGAAAGTAGTTGGTTGATAAAAGTTCTTAAGTCTTTCAAAGTTGTTGGAAACTGCTTTGAAAGACTTAAAACTGTTACCCAAGTTTCAATATGTATTTGGATGGACACCCAGTAGAACTTGTCCAATAATATGGATATCTGGGACAGACAATATAGCAGACAATTAATTGGACCCAGAGTTGAAGAGGAAGAGGAAAACAGCCCAGATTGCTTTTGGGAAGTTGCAAGGATCCTTTACTGACCCCAAGCTTTGCAAGAAAGCAAAGGCCCATCTTTTTAATAGAAACATTTTACTGACATTTCTATATAGCAGTAAGACATAGAATGCCCTTATCTACAAAAATCTAAAAATGAGTGTCAGACAGAAGACAGTGGAGAATCACATTCAAATGAAAGCAGAATCCAACATATAACCAAAAATGGATTCAGTATAAAGAGTTAAATATGGCGTCACAGAAATAATGATAATAATAGCTAGCAATAGCTCTTATTTATATGTTACCTATCATGTACCAGACACAGTGCTAAGTGATTTAAATTATCTCATTTGTGTATGTTCATCTCTGTATATCACTATGTGTGTTTCTGTTGTTGTTCAGTTGTTCAGTCGTGTCTGACTCTTTGTGATCCCCTGCACCATACTGTCTGTGGCAAAGATACTGGAGTGGTTTGCTATTTCTTCTCTAGTGGATAAAAGCAAACAGGATTAAGTGACTTGCCCAGGATCACATAGCTAAGTGTCTGAGGCCAGATTTGAACTCAGGTCTTCCTGACTGCTGGCCCAGCACTCCATCCACTGAGCCATCTCACTGCCCCTGTGTATATTTCTACTTCTACCTATATCTCATCTCTCTCCTAAACTAGATACCATAGAGAATAGCTACAAAATGGTGAAATCAATAGTGTCCAGGGAGCCCAGTAATTCACAGGAGACAAAAATCCAAGAAAAGGGCCAGTGATCAAACTCATTTCTTTAAATGCCTCTAGACAAAGGCACAGAGTATCAACAAGGAAGCTAGACGTCTTAATTCAGTGAGGCAGATTTGGTCTTGTTGGTATCACTGAGAATTGCTAGGATGAGAGAGACTGGACTATAGCTTTGGACATGTCTACCTAATTCAAAAGGAATTGGCAAGATACAAGGAATAGTGGGGTAGCACTGTCTATTAAGAAACTATGCTTATGTAAGGAAAGCCAGGAACCAGATGGAGGAGGGATGGTGAAGAGTATTTAGGCAGAAGTCAATAGAGGTTGAAACAGAAATCCTGTTACCACCAGAGTATCCTATCAACTGCCTAGATAGAGAGAGGAAATAGTCAAAGGGTCAGGAAACAGATCTGGTATGGAGGTGTAATACAGCAGTAGTGATGGAGGTCTTTAATGATCTAAACATCTGCTGGAGGACTCTTTTTGGTGAAAACAGAGCAGCAAATCATTTTTTAAAAAAAGTTTGTGTTAATGAGAATTTCATTCTTCAAAAGGTGAAGGAAGTGATAGGGGAACTGCTATTCTAGACCTAAATTCTCCCTAATAAAGAGGAACTGGTTGATGAAGTGGAAGTAATGGAACCTTGAGGGGAAGTGACTGCTCTATTTTAGAGTTTGGAATAGAGAAGGGGAGGAGGAAAGCTCCACTCTGATTGATGTACACACTAGCTTTGGGGAGAGAACATTTCAAAGAGCTCAGATAAAGGATTGGGAGGGTTCCCTGAACCAAAATTAAACAGGTAAAGTTACATGGTGCAAGGAATAGGAAGACCTCAAGAATGAAAATCCTCATGAAGCAAACCCAGTGGTGAGGAAAAGGGGGAAATGCTTATGGAGAAGGATGTGAATGCAAAGGAAATTTATCAATGAATTTAAATTTCTGAAAGATCTATAAAGAAGATAGAAACAAGGGCAGGGAATAGAGGATAAGTAAAAAATGATGACATAGTCCCTTTAAAAATAGTGTAAAATCTCAGAATGAACTGAAGTTGACAGAGCATGGTCACAACGATATAAAGGTTTCTTTTGTTTTTTAGCCCTATGCAGGAAAAGAGGAGTATAAAAGAAGAGGTGGGGCTGTTCCTTGGGATAAACAGATTCTTGATAATGAAAAGAGTCAGCATGGTATAATTGGCAAAAGGCTGGTAGTTAGGAAGACTTAGGTTGAGATCTTACGTCTTTCTTACCCTAAATGACAGTGTGTAACTGTGGACCGTAAAAACTGGCCCTCGGTTTCCTTATCAGTAAAACGGGAATAATACTTTGGAGTAGCAATTCCATAGTGGTGTTGTGAGGCCCAAATTTTATATGTGTGTATACATATAATATATGTGTATGTGTACATGTGTATATATGTACGCATACATATATAACGTAACAGAATATAAATCTCCCTCTATAAAGAACTTCGCAAGTCATGGTGTACCACATAAATGCCAACAATTATTATTGTTGTGATTATTATTTTTCATTAGAAAGGAGACAGAACTACTAAATTCTCATCTAGTCATTCAGTTTTCTTTGCCAACAAAAATGTTCTTTGGTCTGGAAAGGACAGAGCGAAAATGAATAATCAGCTTTTGAACCCAAGATAAGTAGGAAGGTAGAAAGAAAATTCTTTACCCTGACCCAGATGTATTAGAATCCAGGGTATTGAAAGAATATGCAGATGTGATTATTGAGTCACTGTAAGAGATCACTGAAAGATCACAGAAAGTAAGAGAAGAAAAGGGCAAATGCTATCCTTACTTTCAAAGATAAGAAGAGGGTAGTGTGCAAACTCCAAGCCCACAGTGAGCTTGACTGATTTCTGGCAAAAGTCTAAAATGTATTATTAAAGGTGTGGTTAGAAAACATCTAGCACTCTGAAGGCCACCAGCTCCATCGTGAGTAGCTCATTTCCTTTTTTTAAAAAATAGATTTACTTGACTGACATGGTCATAGGTATGGTAGAGCTGTATAATTTACTTTAATTTCAGCCAAGCATTTGACAGAGTCTGTTTTCCTGTCTTTGTGGATGAGATGTAGAAATGTAGGCTAGATTACAGTATCTGAAGGTCAGTTACACGGAAGAGAGACTAGCTTGTTCTCGACTCCAGGGCAGAACTCAGAGCTATGGGTAGGAGTTGCAAAGGAGAAGTTTTAAGTTTGCTATAAGAAGAAACTTAATTGAATTAATTAAAATATTGTAATAGGCTGCCTTTTGGCTCTTTTTCACTAGAGGTTTTCCAGCAAAAACTGCATTACTGAGTGTTGGCCATGTTGCAGAGGAATTCTTGGTCAGATATGAGTTAGACTCTATGGCCCCCAAGCACATTATATATGGGTATAAATAGGCTCTAGTATGTTATCTAAAATGATTTGCACACTTTAGAAGTAGTTAAGAAAAAGAGATCATCAAGCATTTGTTTTACCAGAAAGTATGTAAAGCTGTTTGTGTAATGAGAGTGAGAAATAATGATAGGTACACTGATTGTTATGCCAGTATCCATTAGATAGCAAAGAAACCTACAGCAAGACCTCAAGAATGTTGGATAAATCTTCTGTGGAGGACTTATAGGAGGAAAGTACAGTCTAATTGTGATCTGAACCAGCATAATGAGTGTCCACTCTGAGGAAATCATGACTTCTGTGAAAATAGTGAGCTTACTGATCACCGATAACCCAGACTGTATTTCAGAGTGGAAGGGAACCTCCGTGGCAATCTTGTCCAATTCTTATATAATAGTTAGCACTTATATAGCATTTTTAAGGTTTGCAGAGTGCTTTACATATGTTAATTCATTTGATCCTCACAACAACATCATAAGGTAGGTGGTGCTATTATCCCCATTTTAGTCTGGAGGAGGTTAAATGACTTGCCCAGACACAGGTATTAAGTATCTGAGGTAGGGTTTGAACTCAGGTCTTTCTGATTCCAGGCTCCAGTATTCTATTCACTGCAATACTCAGCTGACTCCAAAAAAAGGATAAAAGAGAATTCTTCCTACAAAATGTCTAGCAAGCAGGCAGGCATCTAGCCGTTGAATGAAGGTCTCCAGCGAAGTGGAAACAAGCATTTCCCAAAGCAGTCCATTCCGGTTTTGAGCAGGTTTAATTTTTAGGAAGTTTTCTCTTACAGGCATAAATCTGCTTCTTTCAGCTTGCATCCATTGTTCCCAGTTCTGTTCTCTGGGATCAAGCAGAACAAATGTAATCCTTTGTTCTCATGTCAAGTCTTCAAATACTTGAAGACAGGTCTTACATCTCCTTAAGTCCTTTCCAGGTTCAACATTTTCCCTTTCATTTTTTAAAGTCTTACATTTTATTTCTAATCAATAAACATTTATTTTCTGTCCCTCTTATTCAACCACCCCCAATTTAAAAGGCAAAGAGAAAATAAAAGCAAAACCCTTATAACAAATTGCATATTCAAGTAAAAAAAAATCCCCATGTTGTCCATGTCCAAAAATGCTTTGTCCCCTGCTGCACCTTGGATCCATCACCTTTCTCTCAAGAAGTGGGTAGCAACTTGGTCAGTTTCTTCAACCTAATTTCATATGACATGGATTCAAGGCCCTTCCCCAAACTGGTCGCCCTCCTTTTTATGCTTCTCTGGTTTATCACTGTACTGTCTGTGATGTGGCTCCCAGAACTGAGCAAAGTATTCTAGAAATAGTCTGACTAAGGCATCTGGGAGCTTTTGATTTGTAGCAGTAGACACTGATAAAATTCAATGAAAAATCAGGCATACTTTGCAATGTCAGTGAAATGGCCCCATCTTGAAACACAGCCCCTTGGGAGGCATGCAGTCAGGTGATGAGAGTCACGTCTGCCTTTGTTAAATATTTGTCACAATTACCTTGGGAAATCTAGGGAGCTGACCAAAGATGACGGGGAGGTATTTCATTATGTTTTCTGTAAGGTTTGTAGGGCAGGATGCCAACAAGTCATAAAATTGGTAGACTTTGTACCTTGGTCACCACACAGAACTCTCCATACTATTAGCAGGCACTTAGTTTTAAAGAAAAATCGGAGTGCTGTCTTTGCCTAGCATAAGTATGTGTATGTTTCAGTAATGCTAGTCTAGATTTAGGTTTCTTAGGCTCATGTTTCATTATGATTTTCTTTGAGCTTGTTAACTTCCTGGGGCAACTAGGTGGCACAGTAGATAGAGCATTGGCCTTGAAGTCAAGAGGACCTGAGTTCAAATCCCGCCTCAGACTAGCTGTGATCCTGGGCAAGTCACTTAACCTCTTTTGCCTTAGTTTCTCTAGCTGCAAAATGGAGACAATAATGACATTTACCCCCCAGTTGGTTATGAGGATCAAATTGGATATTTTTTAAAGCACTTGGCACAGTGTCTGGCATGTAATAGGCACTTAATAAATGCTTGTTTAACTATAATGTGGATTTCTTTTTAGCCAGGGTTGGGCTAACATGTCAGCCTTTTTCCTCATTGTGTGCTAATTTTTTCTTTCTTTCTAAATTTCTACCTCAGGGATAGAATGTTGATGTTTGAAGAACTTTCAGAAATCTTCTCAGACCATAATAATCATTTGACCAGCCGGGAATTGCTCATGAAGGTGAGCCACTGTGTAGGAATTCTAGGTGTGATTATTACAATTGCTAGATTAAACCCATTGGGACTGTTTTCATGCCCTTTAAAGCCTTCAGTTGACAGGGGAAGGACTGAGGTGACTACATTCAGAGACCACACTCCTGCTTACTTATGTAGAAACATGGTAGGAAAAATTCAAAGTCTAATTAGGAGCTGTCCTTCCTTAATTTAACACTCAGATAAAAGATTGTGAAACCTGCTGCATGCATATACTTTTTTTTTTTGGTGAGGCAATCGGGGTTAAGTGACTTGCCCAGGGTCACACAGCTAGTAAGTGTCAAGTATCTGAGGCTGGATTTGAACTCGGGCCCTCCAGATTCCAAGGCCAGAGCACTATGTATGCCACCAAGCTGCGCCCATATACTTTTTAAGCAAATTCCTGAGCATATACTAAGTGCTGGCCTCCTCTTGAGGGAAATACACTAGAATTCTTCCTCAGCAAAGTCTCCCCACAGGATGACAAGACTCTAGTTCCACGAGGAATTGCACAATCACTCAGTCAGCAACATTTCTTAAACCAGCTGTTCTATGCTCAGAATTTGTAGAGAATTAGAAAAGAATTACAAGAGAATCAGAAACCACAGGCCTCAAGGAACTCACAATCAAGCCCTTAACCTATGTTTTGCATAGATGCAAATACTGGAAGGATTTGAGATTTCCTGAATAAGGAACTCATAGCTTGGGAACTCCCTCCACCAGTGCGTATCATATGCACTTCTCTGATTTAGTAAATGCATCTTGGGGAGCTGATCAAGCCACGTCAAAGGCCAAGAGTTCAGGACTATAAAAAGTAGGATTTGAACCTGAGCCTTCTTGATCCCAAGGCCAGGACCCTCCCTACCAGCTACTGCATCTGCAATGTCTGGTATGTATTAGTGCTAAAAAAGCATAGAATGGAATACAAAACCACTGAAGAACTTTTGTGTAGAGCAGCTTGCATGAAGAAAGGTCAATTAGAATCACTAACTGCTGAAGTGACACTGAGGAGAAGAGTGAATCCAGTCCAGTAACCCTGGTAGTTTATATCAGAAGGTGTCAGGTTGACATACACCAGAGCGTTTTTGCGGTGGTTTCTGTAATTGGTTATGGAATCACAAGACTAGAAAGATGGGAGGGAGCTCATTAGCCATCTAGTCCAACCCAAACCCGAAGGGAGTCCCTACTCCAGTGTACTTGACATGTATTCACTCAGCCTCTCCTTGAAGACCACCAGTAAGGGAGGATGCTTGATTTCCCAAGGCAGCCTCTTTCCTTTTGGATCATTCTTGTTGTTAGGAAGTTTTTCCTGATATCAAGCCTACATTTTTTTTCTCTCTGTAGCTTCTACTCATTGGAAGCTCTTGGTTCTATCCTCTTAAGGCCAAACATCATGACCTCTGACCTTACAACTTCTCTTAGCTCCAGTGGAATCACTTCACCTGCTCTCTGGCAGCCTTCATCCTTCTAGGGAACAGATGTTACAAGCAGACCAGTTCATGCTGATGTCTGAGTCTGGATTTGGCCCACCCGATTAACGGCACGCAAGACACTGCTTGCTGAGATTGAGTTACATCTCTGCCTCATGTCCCCCTGGATTTGCAGGCTTTAAACGCAAATCCATCTGGTTGGAAAGGGATGGCTTAGCAGTGTCAGTGTCAGTATTAACAAAACCAGGCTGCCTGGAGCCATAGATTCAGATCCCTGCAGTGCTGAGTCATCTTTCCAAGGTAGATACACTGAGTACCATGCAGTTGTCTTCAGGAAGAATGTTGTCTGAAACCCTAGTAGCAAAACTATGTCTAGACATCAGCTAGTCCATAAACCATTCTTTTTTCTTTTTTCTTTCTTTCTTTTTTTTTTTTGGCTTTCTAGGCAATTGGGGTTAAGTGACTTGCCCAGTGTCACACAGCTAGTGTCAAGTGTTTGGTCTGAGGTCGGATTTGAACTCAGATCCTCCTGACTTCGGGGCCGGTGCTCTATCCACTGGGCCACCTAGCTGCGCCCATAAACCATTCTTAAACATAGAACTTTAACCCCAACACTTTCGGTCAAATTTCTAAAACTTGACTAAAATGCCAAAGAAACTAAAAACCGAGCTTAGAATGTACTTTCTGTGTTCATTGCTTTTCCACTTAAACAGACTCTACAACCATTTATTCAAAACTGGCTGTGCTCAGTAGGCCTTGAGAGAGAGAGAAAGTTCAGATGAGACATAGCCCCTGCCTTTAAGCTTCCAGTGCAGTCAGTGTGCTACATTACACTGGCTTTTGTCTGTATCTGTTTTATCTCTCAGACTAGACTCTGAGACAGCAAGGTGGCGTAGTGGATAGAGAGCTTGCCTTAGTGCCAGGAAGACTTGGATTCAAGTTTCCCCTGAACTGTGTGACCTAGGAAATCACCTCCTCTCTGAGTCCCAGGCTGTAAATGTCAGAGAAGGTGCTGACCTGCATTAATAGGGATAGTTCTCTCACTGGGCGCTCCCTACACAAATAAAATCATAGGTCTAGTCCCTGTTCCCAGATCCTAGGACACGACCAGACTGTGAACTCCATGAAAGTAGCATCCTCTCAGGCATCTTGCTTAGAGATTTCAGTAGCACTCTGGTTTTCATTCATTCATTTATTCATCAATCAATTAATTAATTTACAAACATTTATGAATTATTGACTGGGTGGCAGATACCATGCGAGGTGCTGAGTCTACAAGGATGAAGATGAAACCATTCCTTCTCAGGGCTCCCCGTATGCTATATGTGTGTGTGTGTGTGTGTGTGTGTGTGTGTGTATGTGTATGTGTGTATGCATATATGTATACACACATACACATGCATACACATATACACATATACATACACATACATATATACACACACATATATGCTTCTATATATATGCATATATGTGTGCTTCCATATATGTGTGTGCTTCTATATATATGCACATGTATGTATGCTTATATATGTATATATATATACACATGTATATATATACACATATATGCATATATATGTGTGTGTGTATATATATATATATGTATGCTGCTAAGTGTACCCAAAACAAATTTTAAAATAAATACAAGGTAATGAGAGAAGCGCTGGCAGTTGAGGGGAATTGGGAAAGGCCTCATATTAGAGGTGGTATTTGAAATGAGCGCTGAAGGAAGATAGGGATTATAGGAAGTAGAGTTAAGGAACGAGATGTGACAAACAGCTGGTACAAATACTGTATCCCAAACACGAATGAACAAAGGCTTGCACTAGGGTGGTGCAAATGAAGGGGGCAGTTAGGTGGCACAGCAGATGGAGCTTCGGCCCTGAAGTCAGGAGGATTGGAGTTCCCATCTGGCCTCCGAACAAACACTTGACACTTACTAGTTGTGTGACCCTGGGCAAGTCACTTAACCACAATTGCCTAAAAAAAAATGATTATAGAAAGGAAAGATTGGATGTGAAGAATGTTGAGGAGCTTTTTAAACATTTCTTCAACGAATAAGCATTTATTTTCTCCCCCCCAAATCTCCATTAAAAACAACTAAATAAACAAAACGCTCATAAAAATATACATAAACAAAAAATAACCTCTGCACTGGACATGTCCAAAAATGCATGTTCATCAGTTTTCTATCAGGCATCAGGTAACATGATGCTCTGGAATTGTAGTTCTTATGCCAGAGTTCTTAAGTCATTCCAAGTTGTCTTTACAATGCTGTGATTTTTGTATAAATTGTTATTCTGGTTGTGTTCTCTTTGCTCTGTCAGTTCATAAAGGTCTGCTCAGATTTCTCTAAAACTGTGACTTCGTCATTTCTTCTGGCATAGTAAGATTCCGTTACATTCATATGCTATAATTCCTGAATTGATGGGGACCCCCTTAGTTCTTTGCCACAACGAAAAGAACTGCTTTATACTATTTTTTTGTATATATGAATCCTTTGAGGAACATTTTGAAGAAAATTCTCAAGACTTAGAAATTAAGTGGATGTGGGTGGAGATGAAAGAAATGGGAAAGTTGAAGAGAATTCCAAGGTTTCAGACTTGGGTCCTTGAGGGTGTGGCGGGGAATCAGAGTAAACAAAAAAGTTCAGGTCTTCAATAGAATTTTAGGAAAATTTTATATGATAGACTTCTGACAATTATTGAAGAGAAATAGAAAGGAGTGTGCACATTTCTCATTTGTGTGTGGTACCTTAGCAAAATGTGGTCATTTCTTAGGACATAAACACCTTGTAAACAAAGAACAACAGAAATATTATGCACATCCTTTACTGAACGCAATGCAATAAAAATTGTATAAAATAAAGAGCCACTGAAAAAAAGTATTGAAAATCAGTTGGAGATTAAATAACTTAACAAATAACTACATATAATTTCTAAATAGTACTAATAAAACCTAGCAGGAAGAGATAGAGAAATTCCATGTATAACAACTACAGAATGTGTAAAATACTTTGATATCTACCTGCCAAGATACGCACAAGATACGCAATTACAAACCACTGTTTATAGAAATAAAGACCAAAATAATTAGAAAAATATTAATTGCTCATGGGTAGGTTGAATCAATGTAATAAAAATGGCAGTGCTACCTATTTTTGATGACATTACTTGATTTGCTTTGTCAATGCCACAACACCAAATGATTACAGAAGTAGAAAAAACAATAACAAGTTCACGTGGAGGAAAAAAACATAAAGAACTTCAAGAGAAATTATAAAAAGAACTGGGAATGAAGGGGGTCTAACAGTCAGTTCTCAAATGATACTAAAAATCAGTAGTTCTCAAAACAACTTGGTTAAAAGATAGATATATCAGAGGAACGGATTAACTACAAAACAAACCAAAGCAAATATATTTGATAAACACGAACACCCCAGCTCCTATGATAAGAACTTACTTTTTGACTAAAACTGCTGGGAAAGTTGGATATCAGTTTGGAAGAAATCATATTTTGAGCAACACCTCGCATTTTATACCGAGCTAAGCTCTAGTGAATACATAACCAAAGTGTCAAAGGGTCACATCATAAACAAATTAGAAAAACATGAGAAAAAAATACCTGTCAGATCTATGGATAGAAGAAAAGTTCATATGCAAATTAAAATAATTCTGTGGTACTGTCTCATACCTATTAGATTGGCTAATAGGACAGAAAAGGAAAATGACCAACGTTGGAGGGGATGTGGGAAAAAATGAGACATTATACACTGTTAGTAGAGTTGTGAACTGATTCAACCATTCTGTAGAGCAATTTGGAGCTATTCCCAAAGGGCTATAAAACCATACATACCCTTCGACCTAGTAATGCCAGTACTAGGTCTGTATCCCAAAAGAAATTTTAAAAAAACAAACAAAAAGGAAAGGGACCCGTATGTACAAAAATATTTATAACAACTCTTTTATGGTGGCAAAGAATTGGAAACTGAGGGGATGCCCATCAATTGGGGAATGGATGAACAAATTGTGGTATGTGATTGTGATGGAATACTGTTGTGCTAGAAGGAAAGTTCATGATCAAACAAGGAATGGAATGGATCACAGAAGATAAAATGGATAATTTCAATTATTTAAAATTTTTCAAGTTTTTACACAAACAAATCTACTAAAGCTGAGATTTAAAAGGGTATTGGATTTGGAGGTAGAGGATCTGGCTTCAAACCCTGGCCATACTGCTTACTACTGTCAGAGCCCATATACTTCTTAACTTCTTTTGCCTGAGTTTCCTCATCTAAAAAAATGAGGAATTTAGAATAAATTATCTCCAAAATTGCTTCCAGCTTTAAATGTATGATCCTATACATAATAGCTAAAAGTGGAAGTGGATGAAGTTGCTAAAGAAAAGAGAGTAAAGAGAGAAAAAGAGAGACTTGGGGTATACCTAATATTTAGGGAATTAGAATTGAGGATGAAGGATGAAGAGAAGCCGGTGGTGATGAAAGGCTGAACAGAGAAATAGAAAAAGATCCAGAGGAGTACAGCTGGTTAAAACCAGGAGATTAGAGTTCCAAGAAAGAAGGTAGATTTAATGCTTTAGCAACTGAAGTACCAAGGGAATCAGCACTTGACAGAGCTAGAGAAAACAACAACAGGATAAAAGGTCAAGAATATTAAGAAAAATAATGAGAATAAGTAAGAATGAAGGAGATATAGAATTATTGGACCTCAAACTATATTATACAGCAGTTATATGTGTATATATGTGTGTGCATGTATATACATACACACACATATACATACATACATATAAATATAAATACATATTAATTATAAAACAACTTGGACCTGATTTAAAAAAATAGCAAAGTAGAGGAGTATAACAGGATCATTAAGCATCACAAATTATCAAATAATGTCCTAGTGTTTGATAAGCTCAAGAGCCTAGGGATAGGATTCCAGTCACTAGGAGTAGGATTCCAATTTTGACAAGAACTGCTAGAAAAACAGCAGTTCAGTAGAAATGAGGTTTAGACCAACATCTTATAATATATACCACAATAAGTGCAAAATGGATATATGACTATAAAGGGCCATTTGTAAATTAGAATAGAACCAGAGGGAGAGCCTTTTACAACTGGGTAGGGGAATAATTCTTAACCAAAGAAGGGGTAGAGGAGTCATATAAGAAAAAAGACATCATTTCAGTTATATGAAGTTCAGGAGCTTTTGCATGAATAAAATGAAGTTAAAATAAAAAGAAACTGTAGAGTGGGAAAATATTTGCACCAAATACTGTCGATAAAAGTTTGATATCCAGAATGTACAGGGAATTGAAACAGTTACATGACACTAATAGTTGTGGTCATCACACAAGTGGTCAAAGGACTTGAGTTGTAAAAGGAAAAATTACGAAATGTAAATGACCATCCTCCACAACGCTAATAGCAAGACAGATGTAAATTAAAACAACTCCAAGGTTTCTCTTAACACCCTGTAAACTGGCAAAAGGTAGCAATAACAAAAATTGAAAACTGGAAATAGCTAGTGTGGGAGGGGCTGTGGAAGAAAGTAATGTGCTGCTGGTGGAGCTGCGAATTGGTCCAACTGTTCTGAAAATCAGTTTGGAGCTCTGCAGGAAAATTAACTAAACTGTCTATACCTTTTACTTTAATGATCGCATTAATGGATATGCTCCCTAAAAAAGTGAAAGACACACATACACACACAGAGATCTAATACATAACAAAATATTTATAGCAGTTTTGTAGTAACAAAGAACTGGAAATAAAATGGTTGTCCATTTATTAGGAGAGGTGCTGAAGGAAAAAAACACTATTATTATAAATAACTGTAATAGAGTATTATTGTTCAGTAAGAAATGACATTATGAGGAATTAAGAGAAACATAGGAAGATTGATATGAATTGTTAATAAATGAAATGCAGAAGACCAAAAGAACAATCTATGCTTATTGACTATAAAAGTATAGTAGATAACGATATAAATGAAAAGATCATTAAAAAGAAGCCAAACTCTGAGTAATTGGAAAACCAGTGAATATCACAGAAAACACAAAATGAAACATCCAGAAGAGAAATGGGACAACTAGGGGAGAAAAGTGTCTACACTGCCAGACGTAGTCACTGATTGAATATTTTAAATTATTTTTCTTTGTACAAGAGAGAGTTCAGTCTGAATGGGAAGAAATTATTTGTTATTTTCTTTCATAAATGTGATAAAAAGGGAAAACGCATCAATAAAATGCATTTTTTTTTAGAGGGGAGACAGTGTTAGGGTAGTCAGCAATACCCGATGCTATTAAAAAGTAAGGTGAGGCCCAAGAAAAGACCTTTAGATTTTATGATTGAGGTAGCCTTCAAGAGAGCAGTTTTATAAAATAGTGATAGGGAAAACTGTATTATAAGTAAATAACTAATTTATACTTAAAACCTCATTAAAATGAAAAACTCTAGTCTATTTAGGGCTTCACTGAGCAATTAAGTCTCATTTCCTTTAAACCTATATTATTTCCCTAAAACTACTAGGCATTCAGAAATTTTTATTAGGAATTTTAGGGACATTAATAAGTTTCTTCAGCACACCTTGTAAATAGTACAAAGAGAATAGATTCAGAAAAACTCCACTGTCCTGAAGGTTTGGTTTGGGTTTTTTTTTGGCCCGGACCTAGGATTTTATTGGTATAGGGGAATACAAGTGAGGAAACTTCCTCTTACCAAAGTGAAGTAGAAGTAGAAGTCTTGGAGAGTTTACTGAGAGACTGTGACTTTTCCAGGCCCCTACATCTAGATGGAGTCAGAGGCAGATTTCACTTCAGAAACCCCTGGGTCAGAAGCCATCGCCAGCCACTCATTATGTCATGCTCCTCCTACTACATTTTTTATTATACTTGGTACAAATATTGGATGCTGAGATATGTTAAATATCTGGAAAGAAATTGGCCCAAGGAAATAATATTTCTCCCCCTTCTCATTCATTCCTACATGGACAAAGAGTAGAAGAAATGGGAAGAGCAGAATGACTTGCCAAACGGCCAGTTGGTAGGTGTTCTTGAGATCTGGAGGGGCTGGAGAATTATCCACTTGCAATGAGTTAATGCCCAACATGATAGTGTCAGCAAGGCTGACTCATTAGGGAAGAAAAAAATGTTCTTTCAGTAGTATTGTAGGGAAAAAAAGTCTTATGCCATGGTAACATTGGAAGTACTGACTAAGAAAGAATTTAAATCAGGCAGTGGAGGTTTTAAAACTCCTGGATTGTGAAATATGCCTCACATTCATACAGTTCTTGGGAAACAAGAACTTAACAAGACCCCAAAACCACAAAGCTGAAAAACAATTTATAGTCAGTCAGCAAACCTGAGGTTAGTCATTTTGTGTAGGTTTTATTACAACAAAAGGGAGGGAGGAAGGGGGATGTTTCTCCTTATGTGACTGGTACAATAGGTTGATTTGTCCAGTCTGAAAGTCAGCTTGGGAAGTTTGATTTGGGAAGGGGAGGAGAAAATGTGAAAGATAGAGAAAGGGGGACTAAAGTCAGAAGACTCTAGATTTGTAGGTCAGCTGTATGAGTCTGAACTTCCTCAGGAAACTTCCAGTAACTCTGAGTTTCATTTAGCCAAGAAATACCACAGAAAGAGTCCCTTTTCCTTCCACAGAATGATCTGTTCACTGCCAAGATCAAGAAATCACAAAATGTGCAGAAGAAATCAGTCTTCCTCTCCAGGACATGTGTTCATTCTGACTGAGTGAAATTGGGGGTTTAAGAGAAGCCTTTCCGTTTCATGGCGTTGTCTGCCTTGAAGAGCCTCTTCATATTTTACATAAAACCAATCGTGTGTTTATCTCAGTACAGTGTAAAGAAATCTTCAGAAACTTTCCCTGATGTCAAAACTGTGGTGTATAAAAGTGCTGCAATGCGAAACCTTTCATATGAAAAATGATGCCCCATTGTCTCCTGGCCCACAACATGCCTCAGTGTTACCCTTTTGTTTGTTCCCCAGGAAGGCACATCAAAATTTGCAAATTTGGATAGTAATGTGAAAGAAAACCAGAAGAGGACCCAAAGACGGCTTCAGCTGCAGAAGGATATGGTACATGCTGCTACTGTTCTGTCTGAACACCCAAAGGGGCCTGGAACCGCCCTAGGCAGGGAGCATGCTATTAATAACATTAATAACAATAAAATAACATTTGTTTAGTACTTTGTATTTTGAAAAAATGCACTGGCATGTGTAAAATGTATTTGACCCTCAACAATCCTGTGAAGTAGCCAACACAGGAACTGGCATAGCTATTGGATATATGAGTGTGCGGGGACAGAGAGATGAGACTCATGCAGTAGCCCAGGACAGTAGCACTAGAGGTGGAGAAATCTTTGAAGTGAGCAGTTATTTTAGGGTTCAACGTCTACTCCATGCTGTTCTCCCTTTCCTTCCTTCTCCCCCCTTGACACATGGAGCCTCCTGCCTGCCCTGTCTCTCACCATGACCCTTGATAACCCAGGGTTTCCTGTCAGCGTAGGATGGACAAAGGGCACAGCCAGTCCTCTTTGCTCGTTGTGATCCCAGTGCTTATTATTCTGGAAGGAAGGCTCATAATCTAGAGATCTGGTCCTTGCCCTCTGTGGACTTGTTCCTTCATTGTCTGGCTCAAAGTAATTTTCCAGCTCTTCTTTTGGAATCTGATTATAGATTGAATCTCCTCACCCCCCCCCCAAAAAAAATCCTCAAGTTACTGAAGGAATCTTAATTATAGCTCATTTATTAAAATTGAAAAGTAGTTTCCAGCTTTAATTTTATTTTCAGCTTTTCTCTTGGCCAAAAAAGGAAGGAGATGGAGCTTACAGAGAAGATGAAGTTGGAGAGATCAGGAGTCAGGGGTGGGGGTCGGGGGATGGATTAGAGTCTCGACGTCTGGAGTCTGTTTGGCATGAACATTCTCATTCTGACTTTCCAAGTGGAGGAGGGTTCCCTCCCTGCTTCCCCTCCTTCCTTTGGAAAACTGGAAGTAAATCAGACTCATCATACTCACTTGTAACATAAAACTTGTAAGATATTCACAATGTTTTGCTCATTTTTGGTTGTTTAAATGAAAAATTAAAAATAGCTGTTAGAAAGAATTAAGATTCATTCTGGTTCTGGATAAAGGTTTTTATGCATCCTAAGCCAGGGCAAATGACAGGGTACAGTAGTGTCTGAGGGACAAGGAAGCTTCATGAGCTGACTTTGCCAGAAGTTGTTGTCAGTCTTACCTTAAGGTACTTGGCAAAGGTTTCTTCTTATATTTTTTCCCTGACTGAGATTTCCCCATCTATTTTTAGTCCCCTAAGGCCTTCTGGAGGAACTTAGGCTAGAATGCTTTTGATTTTTTCAGTCCTAACGGATATTCCTTGATTGCTTTTTGAAGCGTCCTTTTCTCAACATGTAAGCGGCTCTTTCAGGTGTGATATTCCTTGGTATTGTATTGTAAATGTGGGGGCCAATGTATCCAAATCTGTTCCATGGTCAAAGCCATGCAAAACCAAAGGGATAATCAATATACTTTGAAAGAGGGTTGAGAATTATACAGATGTCCCCATTTTCTCTGAATTGAAACAAGACAAGCAAACAAAATAGAAGGCAGTTATAAGGTATCCAGGCATGGACAACTTTGCTTTAATGACTTCAGAAGGCAGATTGGTAGATGAAACTCATTCTTGCTTGGGTCTCCTTAGTTCAAGTCAGATATAATCATAATTTTAGGTACGCATAAATCCAGACCTGGGTGAGGCTCATCAGGTCATTCACAGTTTGCTACATCTGTTAGATGTAGCATAGGAGAAAAATCATTAGCTTAGGACCCCTCACCAGTAATGTGGTGGTCAAAGGAAGGACAATAAAACCATTTCTGTTCTAATTGCTATTCAGGGAGTCATGCAGGGAACTGTACCCTACCTTGGTACCTTCTTGACTGATTTGACCATGCTGGACACTGCTCTTCAGGACTACATCGAGGTGGGTTTTATGTGATTCTGAGAACATTCCTTTCTTCTCCGTCATTCTCATTGTGTGTGGTCCAGCTGATACAAAAACTCCTTGTGGGCAGGGACTTGTGTACTGGGATCCTCCAAGGCTAGCACAATCCTTGCTTAGTAAATGCTTGTTGATTAATTGATTATAGTCCACCTTTAACCTGGAGGGGTTCCTTAACCAGTTTGCCTAAGAGTCAGACCTCTGGTCCCTTTCTTGCTGCCTGCTTTGAGTGCATATCTGGCCTCTTTACTAGAGAGTGGGAAAAAGGTAAAACTCAAGCAGGTCATTTTTCTACCTGTTGGTTGTGCAAATGAAAATTTAGCTGAGAAAAGAAGTTACAGAATTGGAAGGAATCTCAATGACCTTCTTGTCTATTCCAAAACCAAGCTAGAATCCCCTCTACAGCACACCAGGCAGGTGGTCAGCTAGCCTTTGAAGATGTACAGTAAAGGGGAATTCAGTGCCCATGGAAGCAGGCCATCCTACTTTTGGGTGATTCTGATTGTTGGGGGAAGTCTTTCTTTACATCAAGTCTTAATTTGATTCTTTTTAACTTCCACGACTTGTTCCTATTTCAGCCCTCTAGGATGAAGCAGAACCAGAATAACATCTTCCACATTAGATAACTTCAAATATTTGAAGACAAATGTCAGCTTAAATATTGTGAGATTTGGATCTAAATACTTTCCCTTCCAAATTTTCAATTAATTTTCTCATGTACTCTTACCCCTGGTAAATGCCTCCTGAATTAGAGACTGAAGCATTAGAAAAAAAAAATTAGAAAAGTGATGGAAGAAAATTGCAAAGGGAAGATGTCTTTTTTGATTCAACAAATAAAGGGAATTATTAGATTCAAACAAAATAGATGTGTTCAACTATATTAAAATTAATTTCTGGACAGCATAAGCAGGATAATTAAAATTAAGATAGATTGGGAAAATATTTATGACAAATACCTGAACTCAGCTGTTTATGTCCCCCTCCATGTTTTCTCTTTTCTAAGCTGTTTTAATGACTCCTCATTTGAAATGACTTCCAGGGCCCTGATTGGCCTCCTTTAAATGTGTGAGCAAAAGATGTGCAGCTTTTGTCTTTCTTTGTATCCCCAGCACTTAGCACAGTCGTTGGCACACAGTAGGGGCCTAATAAATGCTTAGTGACAGAACACTCTGGAAGGGGCATGATAGCTTTCAAAGTGAAATTGTTGAATACAATAGAAGTTAAATAAACTAATCATGCCTCCCTACCTCTGGATGTAGTGGACTTCTTAGTTAAGAAGATTTAGATTAAAATCCAGCCTCAAATACTTAAAGTGTGACTAATAAAATTGCCATCATTGTGATTGTTTCCTCATCTCTAAAATGAAGTAGTTGGATGCAGTGGCCTCTGAGCTCCCTTTTAACTTTAAATTTGTGATCCTCTGATCCCTTGGTACCATAGGTAATCAGAGATCTGACTGAGTTTTTCACATATTCCTCTCTGTTTTCTTTCCATCATTGTTAGAAGTAACCGATTTAGCATAAAACTGGACCTGGGTCTGACGTGGTTTTGTGGCCCAGCTGACTGATTTTGTGAATTGTGAAGTCTCTGCCTCTTTGAGATGATATGTTTCCAGGCCCCAGTTTCCTTTACATATACCAGAGAAACTCCCTTCTCTCTCAGTTCTAGTGACTTCAGTAAAAGTGATATATGAGGCTAGGATAAACTTCAACCTCCGGAGAACAGGAATCTATCTTGCTGAGCTGAGAGGATGAGGAAATTGAAACTGATACTTAACTTTGCCTTTTGGGAGGCATGTTTTCTTTTTTTTGATAGTCATTGAGAACTTAATTCCCTGTGTGAGTCTATGGCCAACTGTTGTTACTGCTGTGCTCAGGGGGAAAAAATCTAGAAGAGTCTGTGGAAGGAAGAATTTGTCTAAGCTTTTCTTTCTGCCAACCTCTGCAAGAACACCTGGGTCCTGGCCTCTGGCCTCTTTTCTGTTCGTGTTCTAGTCGTGATCTCTGCATCTGCCAGGACCTTCCCCTCACTCCCCTTAATTACGTTGTATGCCCTTTGTCCATACTTATCTATTTATGTTGTCTCCCCAGTAGAAGAGTAAGCTCTGCAAGAGTGTTTCATTTTTGTCCTTGTTTTAGTAATATGTATGTATATAGTAGATAATTAATACACGCTTGATTTCTTTTTGCTTGGTTGGGCTCCCTGCTTTAATTTTCTTCCCACTCCAGTCCATCTTCCACTTAGCTGAAAAGTAATCTTCCTACAGTATAGGTCTGATGATGTCACCCAGCCTTCCCCCCTCAGTAGATTCCAATGGCTCCCCATTACCTCCAGAATCAAATAAAATATCCTCTGTTTGGTGTTCAGAGCCCTTTGTAATCTCTTCCTCTCCTCCACCTTTCTGGTCTTCTTTCTTACGCCTTATACCCACCATAGATTCTACAATCCAATGACACTGGCCTCCTTCCAGTTCCTTAATATGAGATACCCTGTCTCAGCTCTGGGCATTTTCTCTGCTAGTTTCCCATGCCTGGAATGCTCTTCCTCCCTATCTCAACCTCTGGCTTCCCTGGCTTCCTTTAAGTGTAGCTAAGCTTCCCCAGGAAACGTTTTCCAATTCCTCTTAATTCTATCCAGTTACTTCCCTCTGTGTATTATTTCCAATTAATCTTGTATGTATCGTGTTCATGTTGTCTCCCATATTAGATTGTGAACTCCTTGAGAATAGGGCTTGTCTTTTGCCTTTCTTTATGTCCCTACACTTAGCATCATACCTAGCAAATAGGAGGTACTTAATGGTTATTGACCAAGTGCCCGATAGTGATCCCAGGACATCTCCTAGGATATGCCACACACGTCAGTGCCCTCCAGGGACTGGATTTAACAGCCACAGTGGCAACAATTCTATGTCCATTCATTGTTGTGAGCAGTCCTCGTTTAGTAGAGTGACCTAGAACATGCCTGGCTATACAGTTACTTTATTGGTCACTGCTTTCCTTTCTTTCTTTCAGGGTGGACTGATCAACTTTGAGAAAAGGAGAAGAGTAAGTATCACTTATGCTTTGGAGAATTTCCGTTTTAGTTTGTAGTATGTGTTTGATTGGTTTTGAGGAGAAGGTCAGTTCCCCCACTTATTGTTTCAGCTCTTCTCAATAGCAAGAGAGGCTGTTGGTAGAGTGGGAACTACACTGGATTTGAAATTGAAAATCTGGCTACCTGTTATTTGTGTGACCTTAGGCAATTCCCCTAGCCTCTCCAGACTTCAGTGTCCTCATCTGTAAAACTGAGAGGATTGGGCTAGGTCACCCTTAAGAAACCTTCTGCCTCGAAATCTTATGTTTCTTGACCCCTGTGAGGGATTTCGCCCTGGACAGAGAAGGGAGACTAGTTCTACAACAACATCAAAGTTATGGGAGGGAAAGATCACTTCTTGTTTGTTTCTTTGGACAGCAGGATGGCTCCCTTATGCCTACCTTGTTGTTATTGTCATCATAGCAATTCATGTCTGCCTCTTTGTGACCCCATTTGGGGTTTTCTTGGTGAAGATACTGGAGTGGTTTGCCATTTCCTTCTCCAGCTCACTTTGCAGATGAGGAAACTGAGGCAAAGAGGGTCAAGTGGCTTGCCCAGGGTCACCCAGCTATTACGTGTCTGTGGCCAAATTTGGACTCAGGAAAATGAGTCTTCCTGCCTCAAGGCCTGGCCTTCTATCCACTGTATAGCTGTTCTGGCCTACCTACCATTCCCCAATCTTGCTCTGTCATTTCTGCCCAAATGTACATGCCCCATATGCCTGAATTTCCTCTGCATTTTCACCTACTGAAATCTTCCTTTTTTCATCCAAGCCCAGTTAAGGTACCTCCTCCTTCATGGAGCCTTTCCTGATCTCCACATGTAAAATCACCCCTTCTTTCCCAAAGGAGCCTTTTATATTTCTTTTTTTTTTAATATCTCCTTTGTTTCCATATTACCTCTCATCTTGTATTAAATTTGTGTGCATATCTCTTCTCCTTTTAGATTGAGCTGTTGTTTCACAGTTTTGTACACTCCCCAGCACCTCACACAATCAGCTGACTTAGTAACAATTTCATGAATATTAGTTTGATTGGGCAATGAATGGAGGAAAGGAATGTTATTAGATGAGCTCCTGGGAGTTGTTTCTTACGTGTGTCCTCCAAGCAGAGGAAAAGGTGTCAAGCAGCAAGGCTAACCTCTTATTTGTACCTAATGATATTGAAGATATATCCTTCCTTATAACTGTACTAGGGGTGAGGAAAATGTGGTCACATGAGGTTCCCCACCCCTGAACTGTACTAAGAGAAATTGGGCAGATCGTTGAAAACTTGCTGTCTCGTGTGTTTAAATGTCTTGCTGAGCCTGACAAGGAGGTTGTAGGTAGAGTAAAAGGAATCAGTAATGAGCTGGGTTTAGCTTTCTTTCCAGGAAGTCAGTCAACAGGCATTTATTAAGCACTTACTATGTAAATGCAGGCCAGTGCTAATCACTGCCCACAGGGAGCTTACATTTTAATGGGGGTAGACAACATGCAAAAAATGGTACATGCAAGATAGATACAGGACAAATGGAAGAGAATTTCAGAAGAATGGTACTGGCAATGAGAGGGACAGAGAAAGGCCTTTTGGAGGCTGGATTTGAGCTGAGTCCTGGAGGCAGAGGGGAAGAGGGAGAGGTTCTAGGCCTGGGGTGCAAGGAGTGAAAAGACATAGAACTATAAAGTAGAGGATTTAAGCCCAGACCAGTAATTAGGCTAGTGTTGTGGGATCATAGAGTTCATAGAGAGGATAATGTAAGAAATTGGAAAAGGTAGGAAAGGATTGATTTGTGAAAGGCTACAGAGAATTTTCCTTCTCATCTAAAAGCTATAGGAAACCAGCGGAATTTATTAAGTATGTGTGGCAAGGGGATAACATGCAGACATCTATGCTTTAGAAAGATCATTTTGGCAGGTGGGGTGGACTGTAATGGGGAGAGACTGGAGAGAGTGGACCCACCGACAATAGTATGATAGGTTATTGCAGTAGTATGGACGTGATGTTGGCCAAGTGGAGGGAAGAGAACATATACAAAAAGAGGGTGAGAAAATAGAAATAATGAGACTTGGCAGCACATTGCATATGTGAGGTGAATGCAGGTGAGAGTCGGAGGTGACACCGAGGCTGTGAACCTGAGTGACTGGGAACGTGATGGTGTTGCTGACTGTAATGGCAGAGTTAGGAAGAAGGGAAAGTTTGGAAAGAGGGGAGGAGGAAAACAATGAGTTCTGTTTGGGACATGTTGAGCTCGAGATAGTCACAGAACATCAAGTTAGAGATGTCTGAGCAGCAGCAGGTGAGAGGAGACTGGAGCTCAGGAAGAGTTTTCAGTCTTTGCCAATACAATCCATAAAGGAAAGGGTCAGAGAAAGAAATCCCAGGGGTCCATTTCTGAGGCTCAGGCCTTCAGGCCTTGGTGATTGGGCTCCAGTGCTGTGCAAAGCACCGCTGAAGGTACGTGATCAGGCTAGTTCTTGTCAGAGCCAAGATGAGAACAAGGCCCCTGACTGCATTGTATTCTGTGGCTGTGCTACAATGGTGGGGAAGTTTTGTCTAGAGATGGAGGGTCACGACACTAAGAACCTGCCTGAGTTTGTATTACTGGCTTGTTCTGAAGGTTTGAAAAACCCTGTCTCCTTCTCCAGTTTCCTCATCTTTGCCCTTGATCTTCAGAGTAGCTTTGGTTGGATGTCTCTCCAGTTTCCAAACTAAGGAGTTTTAAAAACCCGGGCAGTTTGGTGATAGGCAAAAGCTCATAAGTTTTTTTTATCTCCAATAAAGAAATGTTTGTAATTTAATAAGGAATTTTTGACACATTCACATAGTTAATGTGGACTTTAAAAAGACTTAGTTAAATGATTTACTAGAGCAGTAAAAGCCCAAGAAAAATTCTATGACTGCAATTTCAGGGACTCTTGGACATTCAAAGCTATGTCCAGATGCCCAGCACTTCCAAGACACATTTGTAGTTGCAAGAAGTCATGTGAGTTGACTCTTTACTTAGTCCTAAGACTGTTGAGATAGTAGCGTGGGACAGAGGCACTCCCTGATTCTAATGTCTTATCTCTCCATGTCCCACTCTCAGGAAATCCTCAGCCCAAAGATTATCCTTTATATCCTAAGAAATGAAAATGGAGATAGAAAAACACAAAACCTGTGCCTCTTTTAGGCATTGATAAAACTGAAAGTTGCCCTGCTGACAGTATTCTAACCTGATTATTGTTTTCAAAGAAACCAGTGAAGATTGACATGCGTTCTAAGGCAGACACAGACTTTCAGGACTAGAGTAATAGTGTTTAAGAGTAATTCAGTTATTCTGTTTCTAAAGAGACAAATGATTTGAGTTTACCCTATGTGTGTCGGAACTTTTTGTATTCGACATTGTTTATTCTTTGCCTGATATGTCATGCTATTGGTAGGCCATTGATACGTTTCCATGTTTGAAGAGCTCAGTTTTGCCTTTTTATTCACATTACCTATTTGTTGATCTATTATCCTTTAGGAGTTTGAAGTCATTGCTCAGATCAAGCTCCTTCAGTCGGCCTGCAACAGTTATTGTATGACCTCTGATCAAAAGTTCATCCAGTGGTTCCAGAGACAACGACTCTTAACAGAGGAGGAAAGGTGAAATGGACATAGTTGTTGTTCAGTTGTTTTCAGTCATGTCTGACTCTTCATATCCACATTTGGGGTTTTCTTGGCAAAGAGACTAGAGTAGTTTGCCATTCCCTTCTCTAGCTTATTTGACAGGTGAGGAAATTGAGGCAAGCAGGGTTAAGTGACTTGCCCGGGTACTAAGCTTGCACAGCTACTTAGATGACTGAACCGACTCCCGGCTTGGCACTCTTTCCACTGTATCACCTACCTGCCCCACACCACCTATTTCCTCCATTTTGGGGGCTTCCTGTTCAATTTAGAGGTATGGAGAAGTGATGTAGTAAGCAGATAGATGCTAGCCTTGGAGTTCAGCAGACTTGAGTTTGAATCTTGTCTCAGATATTTACTAGCTTTGTGAATCTCATGAAGTAATCTTCATCTGTATGTGGAGACACTATTTATCTTTAATGAGTAACGCATTCAGAGTATTATATCACTAGATAGTAAAATTGTAAAACCACATTCTCACTTCATTAATTTGCGTTTTGTGATGATTCAAATGTGCACTCTGTTGAAGTTTGTGGGACCTATCTTTGGAAAAGAAGGAACTAATAAGGAATTTTATGTTATAATAATAATAATAATAGGTAGGAGACATGTTGCAAAGGTAGAATCTACAAGACTAGGCAACAGATTAAATATGGCAGATGAGGGAGAATGAAGAGTCAAGGAGGAATCTAAGTTATGTGTGTGGGTGAGTGGGAAGATGGTGGTACCCTCAACAGCAATGGATAAGTTTGGAGTGGAGTTGGCAGAAAAATAATGAGTTCAGTTTTGCACATATTGAGTTTAAGATGTCTATAGGATGTGCGTTTTGAGATTCAGTAGGCATTTGGAGATGGAAGAGGAGAGGTAAAGAGTAAGGTTGGGGCCAGATCAATAAATCTAAGAATCATCTGCATGCCGACTTTAACTGAATCCATGGCAGCTGGGTGGCGCAGTGGATAGAGTGCTGGACTTAAAGTCAGAGAGGCCTGAGTTCAAATCTAGCCTCAATCATTTACTAGTTCTGTGGCCCTGGGCAAGTCACTTAAACCCTGTTTGCCTCAGTTTTCTCAACTGTTAAATAGAGATAACAACAATACCTACCTCGAAGGGTTATTGTGAGATCATTTTTGTAAAGCAGTCTTTATGTTTCACACAGTGCCTGGTACGTAGTAGGCACTGTATAAATGTTTATTCCTTACCCCTGTCCCTACCCCTCCTTGGAGCTGATGAGATAATAGAGGGAAAAGAAAAGAGGGCCTAGGACAGAGCCTTGGAGGATACTTACAGTTATCAAGTGGGACCTGGATGGGTCAAAGGAAACTGAGAAGCCCATTTTATTTTGGGAAAATTCTAGTTGTTGGAAAGTTTGTCTACATGGAGCTGAAATCTCCTTTCCTGTAACTTCCATCCGTTGTTCCTAGTTGTGCCTTCTGGGGCCAATCAGAAGTCTAATCCCTCTATTAAAGAATATAGATAATTAGAGATATTCCTTAACTCTTTCAGTTCTTCTCTTCCCCAAACTGAAATACCCCTAGTTCTTTACCAGATCCTCATATGACCTGGTCTTGAGGCTCCTCACCCTCTTGGTCACCCACATCTGGATGCTTTCTTATTTATTCCTGTTCTTTCTAAAATGCCCTACCCTGAACTGTACACAGTAACCTAGATAAGCCAAGAGTGATGGGGTGTTCAACTTCTGTGACCTCAATACTGCCCCTTTCCTACAACCCACTACTGTGTTGAGATTTGTGTTTCCATATCCTAGAGTCCAGCCTTGATACTCCATAAGTAAACTTATGTTTTAAAGAAGTGAAATTTGAATGTCCCCCAAATGGGCAGGTGTAAGAGAGATAGCTTAGAAAAATGCAGGCACTATATTTTCTAATTTGGACTATTGAGGTTCCTTAACATTTGTGAGAGAATGACCCTGGATTGTTCTTGTAAGCCTGAATCTTCTCACGGAAGATCCATCTCTCTACCCACATCCTTTCAAACTTGCTCTACAATTCAGAAATTATTTAACTTAAAATTCTCTATATTTATAGCTATGCCCTCTCTTGTGAGATTGAAGCTGCTGTAGACACCAGTGCCACCTCACCAAAGCCTAGGAAGAGTATGGTGAAAAGACTTAGCCTGTGAGTATCAGAGAGAGCCTCATGTCCCAGAGTGGTGGGATGGGGAGTGGGGGTTCATTTTGTTTATTTTTTTGTTGTTTGTTGTTTTTGTTTTTGGTCAGTACACATTAAAGGTTGGGAGACAATATTGTTCATTAACATATCTGAAGCTTTTCTGAAAAATATATACCTGATACCTGAGCAGGAGCTGACATTTTGTAGAGGGAACATTGTGAGGCCATCATTGCTTAGTCTAGGAAAGACCTAGATTATCACTGTCATCAGAAGAAAACCTTGAAAGGTCCTAGGCCAAGTCCCTACTAGAAAATTCAAGACTGATGAAATGCAAGCATATTTGTGAAATTCAAGCACATTCTCTCTTACTGAGTAACAGTAATGAGTCTAAATGAAGACAAAAGGTACAAATCTTTAGAGTTTTTCTGAAGAAACAAATTCCTAAGAGTTGGCAATTGAAGTAAAGTATAAACAGGATTTCAATTACTGATCTTTACTACTGAAAAAAGTTTCCTAAGGAGTAATTAATACAGGCACACATACTTCGGGGACCAGGAAGAGCACCACTTAGGCAGCATTTGATTGCTGTCCCTCTGTGGGGTACATAAAGCAGATAGGTTAGATGACCTTTTACTGCCTCTGCCTGGTTTACGAATAAAATCTTTGAGCCTAGAAAGAAAGGATTGCTCCAGTTGCCTTCTTAGATAACCCGAGGGACCTGACTGGGCATGGTCAGCTGATTAGAGAGATTAGCACAAAAGGAACCTGATTCTTACAAAGATAATGTACTGTGTCATGATGTAGGTGCGTGATACTGGAATGTGGGTCCTGCCTGGTGGCCATGTCTGTTAATTGGCTAATCACAAAGAACTGGAGCTCATGGACCAGCAGAGACTGGCCTCAGTAAAGGAAATAATCAGCTAGGTGGCTCAGTGGACAGAGCGCTGAATCTGGAGTCAGAAAGATCTGAATTCAGATGCAGCCTCAGACATTAGCTGTGTGACCCTGGGTAAGTTGTATAACTTGTGTTCCTCAGTTTCCTCATTTGTAAAATGAGGATAACAACAGCACCCACCTCCCATGATTGTTATGAGGATCAATTGAGATAGTACTTGTAAAATGTGTTGCAAACCTTAAAGTGCTCTATAAATACTAGCTAGATATTAAAGAAAAAGTCCCAGGCACTACTAGGCTTATTACATTTTCTTTATAATTTCTTTTATTTTCTGACTGTTGTGCTTATTTTCATGCTTGCGTACCTGCCAGGGTTGTTGTGAGGATCAAATGAGATAATAATTGTGAAAGTGCCTGGCACATGGTAAACGCTGTGTAAATGTTAGTTATCATCGCCATCATCATCATGACTATTACTATTAGAAGGGCTTCTGTTCTTTCTCCCATCACCAAATAGCCACTCATCGTGGGACCCTTCCCACTGGAGAGTTTCTCTGATGCTGCTATAAAATGAAGGCGTTAGGTTAGGTGATTCTAAGATCCCTTCTGGTTCAGACTTTCTAGAATTTTATGGTAGTGCAGCCGTGTAGGGTGTACTGATCCACCAGTGAACGGCAGCAAATGGGCTGCACTGTGATGCAAGTCATAATAGCTTACGTGTATTTATTATCTTTTCCACAACAGCTCTGGGAGGTCACTAGTACAAATATTATTAGCGTCACTTTATAGATAAAGGAATTGACTATCAGAGATGTTCAGTGTTTGTCCAAGGTTATGCAACTTTGCAAATGTCAGAAGCAGGCATTTAACTCTAGTTTCCTAACTCCAAAATATAGCGTGTTAATATGAGCTGTTATTATTATTAATCTCATTTTGAAATTATTTTTTGTCTTGTTTAATGGAGTTCAGACAGATAGTCCATAATCATTTATTAAGTGCTTACCGTGTGCCAGGGCACTTTGCTAAATGCTGGGAATACAAATAAAAGCAAAAAGATGTCTCTGCCTTCAAGAAACTTACATTCTAATGGAAGAAGACTGCATAAAAGGAAGCTGAAAGACAGAAGGGAATGGAATTTATGTGGAGGGAGAAGTTACCTATCATAGATCAGTCTGGATTGCAGCCTAGTGAGAAAAGAAAAAAATGAAGAGATGGTTGGCCTGGGTATCCTCCTTAAATGGAGGTTCTGGGAAGAGCCTTCCAGTCAGAAGGAGGAGCCCTAGGATCTGTGGGTACTTCCGAAGTATAAATTCTAAGGCTGAAGTGACTTTCCAGGATGAAGAATTTTCTGAGGCATGATAGAGGAGTCTGTCCTGCAACTTGGTGAGAAATGAGAAGTTCAGCTATAAATGGTTTTTTGGCAAATCACTCACCTGCTATTCTTCTGTTACATTCAGTATTCTATGGATTATTGCCAAGGTGGATAAAATAATTGCTTTTTGTAGTTGAATAATATTTGGATGTGAACTCCTCTTCTAAGGCTCCCTGAATACATCCTTGGTACAGCTCCTGTAGCAGACCGAATGATGGGAATGACATATACCTCATCTTGTATTAATTTAATTTCTTTTGTTGAGTCTCTATATTTGGAAAGCTTTTAGTTACATGCATCTTGGAGACTATGAGTTTTTCATATGGTGACATCTGTGGGAAATGTGGTTCTTAGGTGTTGCTGGATCACTGGTGATGCTTCCAGAGGCTGATCTTTCTCAGTGACAAATGTATAGTGAGCACTACTCAAGCAATGTTTCATTGCCCTCCACTGTGGGTCAGGATTATGGTAGTGGGCAATTGTTCAGTCTGGGATAATGCTTTAGTTCCCATACGTTTTATTGGTTGAGTTGTCAGTGGTATTCTGAGATCTGTGTCTGTTTGTAGTATTATGATTTGTTGTATGCTGGGCTATGAAAGATTAGGAATTTCTTTTTTTAAAAAATTTTTTGGGGGGCTAGGCAATGGGGTTAAGTGACTTGCCCAGGGTCACACAGCCAGTAAGCGTTACGTGTCTGAGATCGGATCTGAACTCAGGTCCTCCTGAATCCAGGGCCAGTGCTCTATTTTCTTGTTTTTTTGTTTTTTTGTTTTTTGGATAGGCAATGGGATTAAGTGACTTGCCCAGTGTCTCACAGCTAGGGTAGTAAGTGTTATGTGTCTGAGGCCGGATTTGAACTCAGGTCCTCCTGAGTCTAGGGCCAGTACTCTATCCACTGCGCCACCTAGCTGCCGCAGGATTGAGAATTTCTGATGATATTCTTAGCCCCCAGGTCATGTCCTGCTAGGTTTTTGACACAGACTAAAATTTCATACACTCCAGTGATGTGTCACACCGTTTTTCTCATTTCTGTTAGCGTCATGGTGGTTGTTATTTCTTTCTCCTCTTTTCTGATGGAACTCAGAAATTGTCTGAGGGTGTCACTCTTTTGCTTTTATTCTTTCATATTTAATATTCTGCAGATTGTTTCACAGGTGGTAAAAATGACTGCTTTTTGCAATTGAATAAGAACATTGAGATAGATGCTCATGTTCTGTGGATGTATTGAAAGTATCTTTGGGACAACGCCAGGAGCAGATGAGACAGTAGGAATGACATGTACTTTATCCTGTTCCCAAATGGTTTTAATCTCTTCCACTAGACCTCTATTTTGAAACATTTTGATTCCATGTAATTTGGAGATTATGAGTTTTCAATATTGCAACATCTATTAAAAGCATTGTCATTAAATTTTTATGGGTCATTACGGTAAGCAACAGGCTTTTTTTTTGTAGTGATGTCCAATTCAATCCACCTTATTTACTGATTAATATTAATTGGGATTAATATTTATGGGTATGGAATCTGTTTATAACTGGAAATCTAATGGAAATCCTAGATACTTGATTATGTCTAGATTTCTGGTAGATGCTCAACTTTTATAACCTTAGGTGATCCACTGATTGAGTTTTCACCACATTATTTCTAAGTCTACACCAATCAATGAGCCTAGATACAGTATTTTACCATCATAAATATTTCTACTTAGAAACAAATTGGCCTGATGCCACCATTTGTTTGATGCTTTTTTGTCCGTGTGGTACTGGTTGAATTCACGTGGTTATCACCCATGGAGTTCTGTTTATTGCACTGTTGGGTCAGCCGTATCATAGACTTTTTCCAGAGATAAACCACTTTCAGTTATATTTGATAAATCTAGAAGGTATCTGCAATCAGCTTTTATTACTGCTCTCTGAAATGAGGTCTATTTGTTTGAAAAGTATTCCTGTAAATTTTCAACCCATTTATTCTCATTATTATTAGCAGTACTATTGTCATCATTGTCATGTTAAACACCAAAATTCTGAGTCCTTTTATTCTGAATGCAAATTGTAGAGTGGTATGAGCATTAAAAGGTAGAGAACTTGGATGTAGATGCTGGTTCTGCTGCTTATTACAAGGGTGGCTTTGGGCAAGTCTCTTGAGTTCTTTGGACTCAGTTTCATCATCTGTAAAATGAAGGTCTTGGACTAGATGATCTCTAAATGTATGTCTAGATCTGTGATCCTGTGATCTGGTAAATGAAAGGTGTTCTTCCAGGGCTGGGCTGAGAAATGAAATATAAGCACAAACACCAATGTGAGAAACAGTGCCTAGCACAGAGTCCTGCACGTAGTAGGCACTGAGGAAATATGTGTTCAGAGAAAGAATGAATGAATGAGACTCAGCCGTTCTCAGCGGGATTAGAAGTTGGTACATAGGAATGAGCTGGAAGACTTCATAGACAGTACAATGTTAGGGCTGGCAGCTTGCTTAGAGAAGCAGATGACATCATCTCTTACCTCACTGAGTTGAATGTGTATATATCCATGTGTGTTTGGACAACTTCATCTTTCAGATAGGCTCACAAGATTATATGATCCTGTTAACATTTTTATAAGCTTACAAATGGCCTTCTCTTTAATGTGCCTCAGAGAGACTAGGGGAAATGGAGAGCATATGAATCCTAATATGGAAGAGTCAGAGTGCTTGTTTTGGAGGCATAATTCACCTTTTCACAGGTGGTGAAGTCTTTGGAGACTCCAGTGATTCTTATTAAAAAATTCAGTATGAATTTAGTAACTATTAAGTAACATGAGCATTTCTATATACAATGTAGAATGGAAGGAATCTATTATATATAATTTGCTTTTCTTTTTAAGTATATAGAAATTCAGCATGTAATTTTTAAAGCTATTCTGCTTATGTTTTTAATTTTTTTGACCTGTTATTTTTGGGGTGGGAGGGAGAAGGGAGAACCTTATAACCATCTTCTCTCCCATTCACTCTTCCCCATAAAAAAATAAAAAAGAAAAACAGAACTGTGTGATAAATTCCCAAGCTGGCCATCTCCAAAAATGTATGCCTCATTCTACAAATTGAATTCATCACCTCTCTACCTGGAGGTGGGCAGCATGGTGCATTGTGGCTCATCTGGAGTCTTGGCTGGTCATTACATTGATCTGAGTTAAGTCTCTCAAATGAGTTTTCCTTTACATTGTTGTTTTTCTATGCATTGTTCTCCTGCTTTTGCCCACTTCACCCTGCATCAGGTCTTCCAAAATTTCCCTGAAACCATCCCTTCTGTGACTTCTTGTTGCACAATGTTTCATTACATTTATATACCATCAATATGTTCAACCACTTTCCAATTACATGACACTTCCTTAATTTGTAATTCTTTGGTACTACAAAAAGAAAAAAAAATGCTGTAAATATTTTGTACATATAGATCCTTTTCCTCTTTCTTTGATTTTTTTTGGGGGTACAGATCTAGGATCAGTATCACTGGACCAAACGGTATGCGAAGTTTAATGATTTTCTAATTCTTAAAGAATGGCACAAGGACCGTCAGTCCTTACTTAAAGCACCTCATAAGCCGATCCCTTCCTGTCCTTCCAGTCTTCCTCCCTTTTATTCTTCTCCACACATTTCACAGTTCAGCTTCACTCACCTACTTGCACTTCCTCAAAGATAACACTCCTGTCTCCCATCTCCACGCCTTTGATGCTTTCTGGATTTTCTGGCCTTTAAGACTCAGCTCAGATCCCACCTTCTTCAAGAGGCCTTTCCCAGTCTTCCCAGTTCATGATGCCTTCTGTGAACTCTTAATATAGCCTAGGTATTTGCATGTTTGCCCTCCCTCCACCATTAGAATGGGAGCCTCTTGAGGACAGAGACTGTTTGTGCCTTTATTTGTATTCTTAGTGCTTTGTGAAATGTCTGGCACATAGTAAGCGCTTAATAAATGCTTGTTGACAGACTTGTATATGATTTTTCAGGTTCTCACATGGTTTTCATTTCTTTCACTGAGTCTATATATTTTGAAAGATTTTCATTCTGTGTATATTGGAGATTATAAGTTTTCAGTATGACTGAAAACTTTCAGTATGTTTTTTTTTTAAATTTCTAAAAGGTTTCTCCTGGTGATTCATGGATCTGGCTCTTGTGTGAGTGTTTATAATATGATGGTGTCTGCACTTTGTGTCTGGCATGAATTTTGATTTTAGGTGTAGCTACTCTCCATGTAACCCTGCAGGATTTGGAGACCCACAAAAGGAGGTGCCCCTGCAGGGGATATGGAGAAGGTATTTCTGGAAGTTGGGTATAGGGAGAAAGGGGACTTTGAAGTTTTGCCTCTAAGGCCAAGCATTTATACTTGTGGCCTTTCTTTAACATAAAACATGCATACCCTCTTGGCTATTTCATCCAGAGCAGTGGTATTCTTCCCATTTATTCTGACAATGTTTATTTAACAGTGGGAAGTAGACAGAGAAAGTGGTATATGAGGACAAAAGTCCTTCTGAAGAGGTCCTGGCTTGAAAAAATGTGAGAACCACTGATCTGGGAAGACGCCAAATCTATTCCTTTTCTGATCTGGAAATAATATAGCCTAAGGCATTTATGTACTGAATTTTTGCATAGACTCTACAGCAAATCCTTTCATACTCTAAGAGTATCAGACCACACAAAATCAAGACAACATCAGGGACCTGACATCCAAGGAACCAAAAAATGCTATGTATTCACTCTTGGGTTTCATCTTTGTGACAGTCCCAATCCCAGTATTTTCTTTCTTTCTTTTTGCCTGCAGCCTGTTTTTGGGCTCAGATGTGATCAACAGCAGCACACCCACCAAAGAGCAGCCTAAATCAACTCCTAGCGGGAGCTCTGGAGAAAGCATGGACTCAGTCAGCGTGTCATCGTGCGAGTCAAACCACTCTGAAGCTGAGGAGGGCTGTATCACGCCTGTGGACACACCAGATGAGCCTCAGAAAAAGGTACAGCCCTTCCTCCCCTTCCTAACCATATGTGACGTTTGCTGTAGGAGGAATGTCTGTTGTCAGTTTCACTACCCAGCAAAGCCCAAACATTTCAAAAGCACCAGGGAAGGAATGCAATCTGAAGAAGGGGTGAAAACAGAGAAGATTCAGTTTACTTCACAGTGAAGTCTGTGTAAACTTTTCCTTAAAGCGATAAATCTGAAGGCAGCCAACAGGGGTATTTGGTCATGTTACCTTGGAAATGTTGCTACATGTTCTTGGCTAAAGGCACTAAATAGATGAAGCATTGTGACCTTTAACATGAATTACTTTAGGAAATGTTTAGGAGCGGTTTACTTGGAGAAAGAGAATCACAGATAGGTCAGAGAGTGAAGCATCATATTACAAGTTTCAGGCCTTCAAATGCCCTAATAGTCATGAGGATAATTAAGGAGTTCAAATTGCATCTCATACCTTGGTTCTCTTTCCCTTGGGTTGCATAATGGCTACATAAAGTGAACTAAATAAAATTGGGCTTATTTTATAGAAGCCAAGAATCATAGAGTTAGAAGGGACATCACAGGGAAAAAATTGAATTCAGCCTTAAAAATCTTCAACAAATGGTCATCCACCCTGTAGTTGAAGACCTCCAGTAAGGGATATTTGCCTCCTTGTATCTAGGTTTAAAACTAGAGGCTCACTTACCACTTGTCAGGGATAATGTAGACAGGATTCATTATTTGGATGGAGGTTGAACTAGAAGACCTGGTCTTCTTTCCAAATTTGTAATTCTCTGATTCTGTTCTCACATTGGAGGCAGATAAGTGGTTCAGTGGATAGAATGCTGGGCCCAGAGTCAGGAAGACCTGAGTCCAAATCTGGCTTACTACACTCCCTAGCTATGTGACCCTGGGCAAGTCACTTAACCTCTGTTTGTCTAATCCACTGGAGAAGGAAATGGCAAACTACTGCAGTATCTTTGCCAAGAAAATCCCCTGTGGAGTCACAAACAGTCAGACATGACTGAACAACAATAATTCTCAGATCATCTCGGGGTTGGAAAAGTCCCCAGGTGTTATTTAGTTCCACCCATGGTGAACAGAAATTCTCTATATAATTATCCAGACTCCACTTGGAGACCCTCAGTAAAATGTAACCCGCCCCTTGTTGAAGAAGCCCATTCTGATTTTGTTCGATACCTAGGCAATGCCAGGAAACAACATCCAAAGAACTAATCATTCCATAATTATTTCACTGACTTCTGAGCTAGTCAAACCACACATCTGGAGTATGGCATTCAGCAATCTAGATAGAGTCTAATCAAGGTATTTTTTTATCCAGCTGGTCCTAGTGGCATTCATTGACTCTCTCCACATCTATAGTTAGTGGACTGGGAGACAATATCTTGTAGTAACAATATAAATAGAATTGTAAAATCAGTTTTCTATGTCTGTTGGTCCTAGGCCTGTTATTCTGTTGTGTTTCTAGAAGCTTTGCATTACTGCAAAGATGGGTATATTAGAAATTACTATTCTGAAGGACTATGGGAAATTTGATGCCTCTGAGAAGAACAATGAAAAGCCTGTTTTAACCTGCTTATGTAACTGGGTATAATAAATTTTCTCTTAATATTTTACATGATTCTTCAAAAATTCCTGACTTGAAATTCAGTGGGTCTATCCTGAATGCAATATTATCTTGTCTACTTTGTATTTGTTCATTAATCTTTAAAGTTTCTGTACTTCATCTACCTTACTTGGCTTCAAGCATTGGAAATGTAGTCAGGATGACCTGAGTTCAATCCCCTTAGATACTTGCTAGCTATTATCTCTACCTTACAGCTGTAAGACAATAAAAGAAACCTGTTTTATTCAAGTAAAAAAAAGCAGAATAATGAATTATTTCTTCAGCAAGTCTGGTTCCATGACTTTGACAGAACCATAGAATTAAATTTGGAAAGTACCTATCTCAGATGCCATCTAGTTATCTCCCAAACTGGCTCCTTTCCTTCCCCTAACTTCTCTATAATTTGTTGATAACACCATCATCCTCCCAGACACCTAGATGTGAAAACTTAAAGTCATCTTTGCCTCTTCATTCTTCCTCAACACCCAAAACTCAATAGTTGCCACATCCTATCAATTCTACCTGTATGACATCTCCACTCATACTGCCTACTCTACTTCAGTATCTTAGTGAAATCGGAACCCCTAGCCTGACTCTTGGCAGTAGCCGTCTGAATGGGTTTTCCTGTTTCTAATTCCCTCCATCTTCCAGTCTATCCAATCAATAGCTTGTTAAAATAATCTTTCTAATTCATAGATCTGATCACATCATTCACTTGCTCAGGAACCTCAATGGCTCCCCATGGCCTTTGGGATAAAATCACAAACAATGTAACCCATCATTTAATGTGAGTCACAGTCTGGCTTCAATCTGTCTTTCTAGCCTTACCTTATTCTACTACCCTTTGTACAATCTACATTCTGGCCAAACTAAGCTACTAGCTTTCCCCCATTATTGTTCCACATCTCCCACCTCTTCCATTTATACTGTCCTGTAATGTATTCTCTCCTCATCTCTAGCAGTTAAAATCATTCTCTTCTACCAAAGCTCAGGTGAGTTTTCACTTCTTCCATGTAGCCTTCTCTAATTCCCCCCTCCTTTTGCTGCCATCATATTCCACCTTATACTTATTTATATACATTTTGGAGTCCCTCTAATAGTCTGTTAGCTCCTTTAGGGTAGAGACCTGTTTTTCATAGTTGTATTACCAGAACCCAGCACAGTGCCTTTCATATAGTAGACACTTAACAAACATTTGCAAAATTAAATTGAACCCCTATCCAAGGACTGGATGTCATTGCCAGCGTTTCTAATGAGTGCTTATTATACAACCTTCATTTGAAGAATGCATTGATACGAAGCTTATGGTCTCAAGGCACACCATTCCACTCTTGGCTGTTTTTAATTGTTGAACACTTCCTATTTGTGTTGATCCAAACTCCACTTTCTAGTTCAGTTTTTGGAGGCTAAGCTGGACAAGTTCAATCTCTCTTCCACTTGACAGCTCTTCATATATTTGAAGGTAGCTATCATGTCTTTCCCTAAGTCTTCATTTCTCCAGGCCACACATGTCCATTTTCCTCAAATTATTCTTGCAAGACATGGTTTTGAATCCTCTACCCATCCTGCTTGTACTTCTTTGGACGTAAGAACACTTGATCCGTGATGCTTATGTCTGGAGGTCTTTACTCCAAGAAGCCTTTGTTGGCATTCATTCAGCTACGATTATAGGAATACTCACTATGTACCTGCTATGTAAGTAATGCTATGTTAGGTGCCGTGATGAATACAAAGAAGAGAATAACACTCTTCCTGTCTTCGTGGAACCTACTGTCAAATACATTTGGTAACTCACTCTAACAGATTCATTCAAGATTTTGCTGTTTAGTTATTTGTTTATAACTTTGGAGTTCACATGTTGAATTTCTAATAAGGGTTTGGAGCTTACTAGGCAATAAGTAATCTGATAAGAGCTTAGACTGGGGCTGGGGAACCTGTGACCTTCTAGGTCCTTGGGTGTGGCCTTTTGACTGAGTCCAAGTTTTATTAAGGAGATTTGCTCTGTGAAGTTTAGATTGAGTCAAAGGTCCACACCTGAGGAACTAGAGGGCTACATGTGGCCTCGAGGCTGCAGGTTCCCCACCCCTGGCTTAGACTAAACACGATCCAGGCATCTAAGATCTAGTTTAATTACAAAGGTTTTTGGAGTAGGAAGCAACTTTGTTGGAGGCAGCTCTCAAAAGTTAGTGTCTTTGTAACATTAATCAAGATCATTTAGTGGTATGAGAACCAACTGACTGTGATCAGTTACAGAGAAGGAAGGCCCAGCCAAGGGAAGCTAGAAAAATGGGAGGAGGAGGAAGAGGAGGAGGAGGGGATCCACGGAACTGGAAGATGGAAAGAGAAAAACTTAAAAGTCCTTATGTTGTGTTTTTGTCTAACACTAAGTCAACTCTTAAGCCTGGTAAATCCTAAACACTAAGATGAAATTATAGGGAAATGAACAAGGTAAGAGGATGGAAAGAGGAAGATAGGGGAATGATAAACAACAGGAAAGCTTGGAATATGGTCCTCCCTCTAACACTAGTATTAGCTATATGACTTTGGGCAAGTCATTGATTCTTTCTGGGTCTTACTTTCCCCATCTCCAAAGGAGGGATAGGGACTGGATCTGGGATTTCATTGGTATAGCTACATGAACTTCCTTTTCCTTGTAGAGTTTAAGAAGTTAAGTGACTTGCTCAGGGTCACAAAGCCAGCACATATGAGAGGTGAGGCTTGACCTCAGGTCTTCCTGGCTCCAAGGTTAGCTCTCTATACTCTATGTCATGCTGCCTCTTGTCGCTAAAATAACATGCCTTATTGTCCCCCTCAGTGTTGTTGTGAGGACAAAACAAAATTTTGAACAGATGCAAGCTATTGTTTACTTTAGCCTCCTATTTGTAGTTGCTGGAGATCTTGTAGATTTGAAGATTTAACCTTCCTCCCCATTGATCTCAGTCTTTACTGAGGCATATCACATGACTGATAAACGTGATATATTCTGGTGTCTTATGAATGAGGGAAAAGATTGTGAAAATAGGAGGTACTGATATAAAATAGTGGTTCAGGGAGGTTCATTTTCTTCTGATTCTCTTGGGAGCTGAATCACTTTAACTGAAAACTAATTAGCTGTAAGGATGAACATGGGAGCACATCTCATTCACCATTTGTTTTACCTGGAGAATTTGGAGACACCAAGACATGGCTTTATAAACTATTGAAGATGATAAAAAAAAAAACTTTGTGAATATGTATGACATATGTCCACATATATTCATGTATATGTCAATATGAGAGTTAAAAGAAAAAAAACTAGGATGGATTATAAAAGTCAATTGAATTGTTGCTAAGTAGTGAAATAAAAAGTGGGTTTGACTGTGAAAGAAGATGAGATGGTTGTATAGTCAAGAAATTAGAATGAAAAACCACCAGCTGAAAGCCAAACTTTTTTGCTACAGCAGATCGTATGAAGATCTGTATCTATGTTTGTGTCTATATATGTTATGTCTATATCTAGCTATATCTGAAAGCCATTATTACTTAGGAGATCTAGTGCTGGCCTCAGTTAGGTAAACCTGAATTCAAGATCCATCTCTAGCACATTGACTTCTCACAGCCATGTGACCCCAACTAGGTAAGTCACTTGTACTCTCAGAGCACCCAAACAGTTCTCTAAGACTCCTCTACATTGTAGAACAATTTCTTGTCTGCATTGGTAGACAGTTTCCTCTGCCAGAGAAATCACAGGTGTAGTCAACAATTTGATTTTTATATCTATATATAAGAAACTGTTCATCTCACAGAAAAAAAAAAAAGGTGAAAACTCGCCTTAAGAGCTCAGTGTGTTTGTATCAGTGTAGAACAAAGAGTGTTAAAAATAGCATCATCCAGAAGCCACCATAGAAGGATGGCTCTCTTTCTGAAGAAGATGGAGGAGGCATGGTTAACATCAACAATTTACATTGCTCCCTGATGGCAAAACTGATGAATTATTCATACTTTGGTTACTGCTCAGCCAGTCTGACCACAGTCTGACAACAGTAGAATTTGTAAAGATTACTATCCAGAAGGAAATTTGCAGACAGACTCAACATCAAATTCACATGTGGATTAAAAAAGGACTCTATGATTACTATGCGCTGCACTGTGGCCAGGATTACATTTGTTAAAGGAGGCCAGTCCAGCTCGCCACTAAAGCCCCACTTCAATGCCTCCTCATGCTGTGGAGGTCACCTTGGACTTTCTAAGGTTAACACCAGTGGAGCGTAAACCATGGTAGGTCCAACCAAGCTGGAAAAACTTCAGGGACAAGGCTGAAGTAGATTGGATGTTTGTCATCGGAGAACAGTCTAGCTAAATTCAGAGATCACTGCAGGATGATGGATTTTTTTGGCCACAGCACTCCTTCAAGCTTATCTACCAAATCATACATGGGTTCCGACTTTGGTTAGTAGAGAGAGGATATATCCCAACATAATTGCAGATCTTATGTATCACAGTAAATCAATCTTATGGCTAATGCCAGCCCAACTTGCTGAGAATAGCGAGTTTATTATAGCAATTCAAAATTAGGTAACTCATAAAAACCATTCCAAGGTCATTATAATGGAGCAATGGGCTAATGATAAGTTCAGAGAATAGATGGTAATTTGTAAGGCAGCTAGGTGGCACAGTAGAGAGAGCCACTGGACCTGGATTCAGGAAGACCTGAGTTCAAATCCAGCCTTACGTAATGTGTGACCATAGAAAAGTCCTGTAGCCTCTGTCTGCCTCAGTTTCTTCATCTGTAAGATGGGGATGATAATAGTACCTAGTTCCCAGCGTAATTATGATGATCAAATAAGCTAATCTGTATTAAAGCACTGTGTAAAATGTAAAGGGCTTTATGTTTGCCAGTTTTTAATATTAATGTTATTAACAACAACAAATCACTGAAAACCATACTGTCTTAGTGACTGTGGATTATATTATAAGCAAAATCATTCTGCTAAGATTATACATCTAAGGACCTTAGATGTGAGTTTGTCGATAGACCAATATATAAATATAGCGTTAAATATTCTAGAAAGTAAGAGTATTACTGGGATAGAGCTATAATAACCAATCAGTGACTCCCTTCCAACATGCTAGACATCATGATGTTTTTTTAAACGAATAAAGCAGCAGGACTTATTGATACTGTTGTCTCACTTAAGTAGAAATGCTGCGAAAATTCATGGAGGTAAAAAATATAGTAAATTTCCATTTGTCTAGTATCCAAATGACCAAAAGCTAAAAAAGAAGATTTTTTGGACCCATTATACATTCTCATTATTTTGAGAAAAATGAAAATAATAATAAAAGGAAACTGATTAATATTTTTGATCTTTTAAAAATTATTTCCAGATTATCTTATGGAGTCATTATGGATGTGCCTATAGCAAAATATCTATAAGACTGTACAACGGGAATTAAATATTCAGAGAGATTGATGGCCCTGAGGCACTGTATGAGAGGCAGACCATGTTAGGCTTTCTGAATGATTAAATAAGGACTAAATAAATTTCAGCACTGAGTCCACAGTAGATGTGGCTAAACAAGAGAGGAGTAAGACTACCATGCAGTAGCTAAAGAAGGATGACATCTCAGCTGGAAAAAACTGTCATTCCTTGACAGTTTCCTGATGGTTTTTTCCTGCTCCCTTCAATGTGTAACATGACCTTCTCTGTTTTCATCTCCCACTTCCCAGACATCTTTTTTCCACAATTCCTGCCCAGACCTTATTTACTTCAACAAAATATTTGGTCTGACTTCAGCCCACAATTCTGGCTATACTTTGAGATCATGGCTTGCAACCTTGATGAGGCATCAGAGTGGAACTTTAGGAGAGAACCTATTATAGACACGCGTTCATTCAATACACATTTATTAGCTACTTATTTTCATTATGTTTGTGCCAGGTATTGAGGATACAGACAAAAATGAATTGTCCTCTACCCTTGAGTAACTTGTATTCTATTATAACAGCAATTGGAGTAGAAAGTCAACATTTTGTAGAGTGCTTTACAATTTATAAAGCACTTTCCCTCAATGATCCCATGAATTTGATAAGAAAAGTGTTTGAATTTTACAAATAAGGAAACTGAGTCTAAGAGAAGGTTGTGACTTGTTTAAGATCATGTATTAGAGTCATAATTTGAACCCAGATCTTCTTATATCAAGTTCAGCGCTTAATAATGTTATTATGATCCATTATCATTGTCTTAGCACAATTGTATTTTAATGACTTTATGAGGTTCTATTTTTTAAGGAGAAAATAACTGATTATTGTGATCAAAAACTGTATATTAAGCAGTGACTATGTTCAGGACACTATGATGAATGTTATGGGAGATAAAATGTAGTCCTTGCCCACAAAGATTACAAAGAAAATGAGATAATAAAAAGTGGAATTGCCTAATTTTGAGGTAACTAATATGCAGTTGGTTATAGAGAGAGAACTTAGGAGATCCAGTGCGAAATAGTTTTAAGATAGCTTTCTAGTGCTGTGGGCTTCTGCCTTATTTGAGGCCAAAATTTGTTATTTTTTTTGTCTTTGCTGCCATCTGCTGGTTATTCTCTGGAAGAGCAGCTGGAAACCCTGGAAATGAGTCCTAAAACCAGAAGAGATCATCTCTTAATCATAGCTATCTCCCAGTCCAAAAAGAGCGTAGAGGTCATCACATCCACACTGTGCAGGAGCAGAAATCTTCTCTCGCCAGACTGATCTGAGAGAGGTTTGTCCAAGCAGTGAGCACAGGGTTGGAAGTCTTTCAGGGGGTTCTTACTGAAGAATAAAATCAGTAACAGATACTAGTCTGACTCCCTCATTTGACAGATGAAAGAAAAATCTTGCCATACTAGGCAGGACAGAATTCACAGATGTGGAATAATTAGTCCAAGGACCACGGTGCTGACATTCCTTCTAAAACTGGGGTTTTTCCAACCAGAAAAGAAGATATCTGTGGGGTATAAGGTATAATGGGGAAGATAACTGTGTATTTGGTTATATGTCTATTCCTTCTCTTTTCTGAGAATAGTGAAAAGCTTCTGCTCAAGGTTCTCACTTTCCTTTTTTTTTTTCTCCTTTTTTAGCTCTCTGAATCCTCCTCGTCTTGCTCCTCTATCCATTCTATGGACACAACTTCCTCAGGGTTGTCATCTTTCATCAACCCCCTTTCCTCCCCTCCTGTCACCAACAACAATCCGAAAAACCACAAACGCTCCATCTCAGTCTCATCCATTACCTCGACAATGCTGTCTCCAGTTTACAATCAACAGAATGAAGACACCTGTATAATCCGGATCAGTATAGAAGACAACAATGGGAACATGTATAAGAGCATCATGGTAAATGTTCTAGCCCTGTCACCCAGGTAGATGAGTGCTCAGGCTGACTTTGTGTGTACGCGTGCACATGGATGGGTGTGTGTGTTGTGTGTGTGTGTGTGTGTGTGTGTGTGGTGTATGCACAGAGGTAGGGAGTGGGTTTGTTCATGAGATGTGTTGGGAGGGGAGAGAAAGAGTCTCTCTCAGGAAGAGGAAAGTGCACTTGAGCAAAAAACTCCTTTCTTAGACACTGAGGAGTGATTCAAAAGTCGCAGAAATGAAGGCATTGAATTAGACTATAATTCTTTCTTCCAAATATAGACTCAGACACAGAATATGGAAGTCTGGAAATGCACCAGATTCCTTTGCTTGACTTTTCCAGACTGTTAGCATATGATCACGTAGGATTGTATATGCTTTAATACTCTAAGCATCTCACTCTCATGCAGATAGCAACCTCTTTATAATTTAGTCGGTAATCTCTAAGATTTGCCGTGTGACTGAACATATGCATCACTGTAATCTGGTGATGAGCTTCAATGACCTTGTCCAAGCTGGTCCATGACAAGACAGCATTCTTCCACAGCAACTTAGTAGAAGGTGCCAGAGTTTGGTCTCCATTGACATGGAGTGCTTAGCTCAGTACCTGGCACGTAATAGGCACTTAGTAAATCTTTATTGATGGATTGACATAGACTTGATATAGTCACCTCCTCCACTTAATGAGGCATCTGAATGGAATATTAGTAGACAAACACACACACACACACACACACACACACACACACACACACGCATCAGAGAGGCCATGTGCTATAGTTAATAGAGTGCTGAACTTGGAGTCAGGAACTCCTCCAGTGAGAGGTATCAGTTTCCTCTGAGATAGTTCATTTCTACTTTGGGATAAACCTAACTTTTTAAGAAGTTTGTCTTTTTATCAAGGTAAAATCTGTCTCTAGAAATTCAGCCTATTAGGATTGTTCTTCCCGCCAGGAGCCAAGCCAAATAAGGCATTAATCTTTCTTCTACATGGCACCCCTTCAGATATTTTGAAGACAGATTCTATGTCTCCACCGTCTTTTCTCTAAGCTAAATATTTTCAGTGATTCCAATACCAGTGAGGCATTGTGAGACATCTTATCTGCATGAGCTATAATCCTCATGTGACCTTGTTTTCCAGTTTCCTCACTGTGCTGGTTGCCCTCTTCTGGACATATTGCAGCTTGCCAATGTCCTATCTAAAATGTCATATCTAGAAATGAACAAAGTATTCTAGATCAATCAATAAATAGTTATTAAGCACCTGTCATGTGCCAGGCACTGTGCTAAGCGCTGGAGATACAAAGAGGCAAAAGGCAATCTCTGCCCTTGAGGAGCTCACAATCCAGTGGAAGAGATAACAAGCAAACGGAATATGTACAAACAAGCTATGTCACAGGATAAAAAGGAAATAACTAACAGAGGGAAGGCACTAGAATTAAGAGAGGTCAGAAAAGGCTTCCTCTAGATGCCAGATCTAGAAGATGGGATTTTCATTGGGACTTGAAGGAAGCCAGGGAAGCCAATAGATGGAGATAAGGAGGGAGAGCCTTCTAGTTACAAGGGACAGCCAGAGAATGCCTAATGATGGGCGTATCTGGGTCATGGAACAATGTTAGTGCATTGAAGAATACCTCACGGAAGGCTAGAAAGATATGAGGGGGATAGGTTATGAATGCCAAACAGAGGATCTTGTATTTTATTCTGGAGGTGATAGGGAGCCACTGGGGTTTATTGAGTAGGAGGGTGATATGGTCAAATCTTCACTTTAGGGAAGTCCCTTTGGTGGCTGAATGGAAGGTGGATTGGATCAGGGAGGAACTTGAGGAAGGCAGACCCACCAGGAGCCTATTTCTGTGGTCCAAGGGTGAGATGATGAGGGCCTGCACCTGAGTGATGGCTGTATCACAGGAGAGAAGGGGGTGTGTTCAAGGTAAAATCCACAGGCCTTGGCAGTAGGCTGGATATAGGGGATGAGAGACAGTGAGGAGCTGAGGCTGTCTTCTAGGGTAGGAGCCTGAGGGATTGGAAGACTGGTTTTGCTCTAGGTTTGTCCCTCTGACAGAGCTCCCAGATAGTCTGAACTGGATTTTATTCCAAAAGCTGGTTGCCTAAAAGTGACTTTAATTCTTTGTGTGAAATCCATTAGTTGATCAAAAAGCAATTTTAAGTACCTACTATGTGCTAGCTAAGTATTGGGGATACAAAGACCCTTTGTACTTAAGGAGTGGTATTCTAATAGCTGGCTAGCATGCTAGGCCTCAAGGCAGGAAGAAGTAAGTTCAGATCCAGACTCCAACATTTACTAGTCCTGTAACCCTGGCCAAGCCATTTAAACTCTGCCTCTGTTTCCTTAACTCAAAAATTGGGATAATAATAGCACTTACGTCTTAGGGTTATTGTGAAGATCAAATAAAATAACATTTGTGGAGAACTTAGCAGAATGCCTGGCACATAGTAGGAATTTAATATTTGTTCACTTCCCTTTCCTCCCTTCCCTAATAGGGAAAACATTGTGTGTATATGTATGTATGTATGTATGTATGTATGTATGTATGTATGTATGTGTGGGTATATATATGTGTGTGTACGTGTGTATATGTGTATATATATATTTTAATATATGCATGTGTGGGTATATATATATATGTGTATATGTGTATATATATATTATTTTATATATGTGTGTGTGGGTATATATGTGTATATGTGTATGTGTGTGTGTGTGTGTATATGTATATTACTGTTTTCCCTAAAGCATGTAAATGAAAAGAAGAGAAGGAGGGTGGTGCCTAGAAAGTAGTCATCTGACTTCTTGTCTGCTTTCCTGTTGTTGCTTGCATTACAATTCCATAGCAATTCTCTAAAGGTCTGCATGTGAGATTTAGTTCTGTTCTGCAGTGAGCAGGGAAGGAGACAATCTCTGATCGGAAGCAACATGAGGTTGTTGTGGAAGGCAAGGGACAGCCTTAGAAAGAAAGGGAAGAGGCTGATAGAGAGCTGAGAGGCAATAAAGTGTCCTCCAGAGCTCTACCCCAACCTGGTTCCTTACCTACAACCAATCAGGGTGCCAGTCCACATCCTCACCCGACGCCTAGGTCAGAGCATAGGAGCCTCCTCCAATAGCTTGAAAGTGCTAGGTAGCTGCAAGAAAGGTAGAGGCCCTGGAGTCAACAGGACCTGAGTTCAAATTCGGCCTCAGATACATGATACTTGTTTTGTGACCCTGTGCAAGTCACTGAACGCTGATTGCCTTGCAAAAAAAAAGAAAAAAAGAAAGAAAAAAAAGAAAGGTGGAAGAGAGGGTATCTCCTCTCCTCCGCCAATCCCATGGCTGAAGAAAAGGAGGATATAACATTCATTCCTTGGCTCTGTGGAACTCTGAATACATTTCTCCACCCCTCCACCCCCAAAACACTGTTGCACATGCTGGTTAGATTCACTGTTACATGCTATTAGTGCAGTTATACACAGACATAGACACGTATACATACATACACACACATGCACATGTGTATAGACATGTGTGTGTTTGTATGTCCAGTACATTATTAGTTGAATAGGGTTTTCCTAGGCTGGCCTGAGAACCTACCCACTTTGCATAGCATTGTTTCTAGGGAAAAATGCATTCTAGCTTCTAAAGAAAAACATTTAAAAACAGATTTGGGACACATAGCCCATTAATAAGTTGGGAATTGCTTTTATAAGTTGCTCTACAAAAGGATAACTGCCAGGAGAAAGTTCTCTCCCCCCTTTGCCTGATATTGTACATGTCAGGGGAAGTCAGTGGTTATAGATTCTTCAGTAAAGAAACTGGAGATCTCTTGGGCTTATCCTTAGATAAGAAATTTGCATTTGGCTGACTAAATCCATCAGCAGCTCACACTAATCCTTCACAGAATGCCTTTCATGCTTATCACGCCTGGCTGTGTGCAGGTAGCTCAGATTGACTGCTCCATTTGTGGGAGCATTTCATTTAGGCTGACAGGAAATAGCTCTTCCTTTTTCAGCCTTAGGATGTGCACCTATTTTCCCCTTGCAAATTCATATCCCAGATGTCTCAGGGACGGGAAGATAAGCAAGGTCATTGCTATTTGTTTTCATGAGGCTGATTTTAATAAAGTGAGCTTCAGAACTTTACTCAGAATCAGTTGCTTCATTAGGCACATCGTAGGATAGGAATGAAGCTGAGAAACCTTTAATGTTCAGGGAAAAAACATGTTTCCTGTTGTGCCAGTATCTTCAGATTCATTGATGCCCCTGAACAGAGAGCAACAAACAAAAATAAAACCGCTTGCTGCGGACCTGGATGGGTGACTTGCTTGTAAGTAGCAGGAAGTGAACACTCCAATGGTTATTATTCTAGAACAGAGATATTCTATTCTAGAACAGTAATAGATGGGATTTATTGTTCCCTCTGTTGAAAATGGTCTTATTTGTAGCATCCAAAATGTCCCAAACTCAGGAAAACAGTATTAAATATTGTTGCTCTGAAGCCTTACTATGTGGATCACACTACTTACGGAAGAGAGAGCAGACAGAAGGAGAGTCAGGACTCTAGAGTGGGGTCCTTAGTTCAGTTGCTCAACTTTCGGAGACTCTGGGAAGTCAGCCTTATCCTTCTCATCTCTGATATTCCACACATAGGTAATAGCATTTGTAGCAATAGCTATGCTCCTAGGCAAGGATCCGCATCCTGGCATTTTCCAGATTCACAAGTCAGTGAGTAGGTCCTTTCAGAGGGAGAGTGCCTCTGCTCCATGAGCAGTCTTCTTGGTGAGAGGAGAAAATAGGGTCTTGAGGAATAATCCCCTTGGACTTTCAAGCCACCCTTTGCCTCCAGTGCAGTGACACTCTGTACAAAGTGGTCCTTACTACAAACCGTGGAGAGTTTTTGCTACGTAAAAGGTCCATTAAGCAGTTTCTTAGTCATTTTGGTCCCTGCTGTGCACACAGATACTGCTCACTATCAGTGGTAGCATGTTTGAATATGAAGCATGGTGATGCTAGTGTAATCACTGCTAGGCATCAGGGTCATACAGTGGTTAGAGCTCTATGCCTGGTATCAGGAAGACATGAGTTCAGATCCAGGCTCAGTCACTTACTGTGTGACCTTGGGCGAGTCACTTAACCTGTTTGCCTCAGTTTTCTCAACAGCAAAATGGAGATAATAACTATCTGTTGAGGTTGTTGTGAGGATCAAATGAGATAATTTGTATATAGCATTTAACACAGTGCCTGGAATATAGTAGGTGAATATAAATGCCAACTATTGTTGTTATTGGGTGGACCTCATGTTTGTATGGTGTTTGAGCCTGAGAACAACCCAGTGAATCAGAGAATGCTGGTGTTGTTATCCACATTTTACAGGGGAGAAAATTGAGACTTGGTGTCTTGGTCTGTACGTGGTAGTGCCCAGGCCAGAATCCAGATCCTCTGATTCTTCGTCCTCTGTCAGCAATGGCTGTCAAAAACTTTTTCCAGTATGAGCATACTTCCCTCTCTCCCCTAATCCACCATACCAGTAATGTGTTCTGTGTAGATTCTAAGTAAGAGGAGAAGGGGAATCCCAGAGTAGTTTCAGAGGCCATTGCCCTCACAGAAAATCAAAGCAACAGCATACATCTTTTCAGCACTTGGCATGATATCTGGCACATAGTAGACACTTAATGAGTGTTTCTTGAGTGACTCATTGACAGTGCTGAGTTTGTTAGGTCTTGGAATACCATATTGATGGGCCATAAGGGGCAAAGCTTTCATGAAATATGGAACTTAATCTTTTTTCAAACCTGTTTTCTTTCCAGTTGACAAGTCAGGATAAGACTCCAGCTGTTATCCAGAGAGCCATGCTGAAACACAACCTCGATTCAGACCCAGCAGAGGACTATGAGCTCGTCCAGGTCATCTCAGAGGACAAAGGTGAGGTGAAGTTGCTCCAGGCATCTCCAGTCACAGGATCTCAGGTGCACAAAATGTTAGCATTGGAAGGGACCTTGGAGACCTTCACAACTTTGCTGTATGGAAAGTGAGGCTTAGAGGTTTTAGGTGGCAGTCCCACTGACCTCGGCAGTGGTAGAGCCAGGACTGAGGGCCATGTTTTGTGCTGCTCTCCACTTTTCTTCAGATTTGGGATACAGGGAATGGACGTGTTAAATTAAATAGATTGTAGCTTTCTTATGTTTATATTTTATATTAGGCCTGCTGTGGAGCAGAGTAGGAAAGAGGGTGGCATCTTTCATGAGACTGAAAAAAAATGCCTTTAAAAAAAGGCTTTTCTCAAGAACTTCGGGGGTGGGCGGTTATAATGCATGTAGCAGACAGAGTTCCAGCTGTTTTTTACAAACTTGCCTCAGTTGCCCAAAGGCCTATTTCCTCTTCTGGTGAACTCTCTTTACCTAAGTAGGGTATTCCTGAAAAGTTGTCTGCGAACTGAATGAAGGTTTGCTAATGAAATTTTCTCTTTGCCTATCATGATGTTTTCAGAGAAAAGCTTTATCTTCATTTGTGATTGACCCTTGGGTACCAGTAACTCTACTCTTAACCCTGGAACTTCAAATTTAAATTCCTCTGCATCTCAAAGAAAGAATGTTCAGTGTAACCCTTCAGTGCATCAGGATGCTCCCTACCCAAAGGAGCTCTTCTCTGGAGTATTACACATCAGAGATGGCCTCTGGGGTTCCTTAGAATTCTGACGTGGTCATTCTGGAAAGCTGACCTCTCCTCCACTTAATAGGACTTGTGTGTGTGTGTGTGTGTGTTTTAAAGATTTTTGTTGAATTCTTTTGTTTTTATATCTCCTAGAGTTCCCATTGTATCTCTTCTTCCCAGCTCCCAGAGAACCATTACGTATAACAAATAATTTTTAATTTATTACTCACTTGCTTTGGGAAGTGAAAGCCAGTGTATGATATAACTGTAGGGAAGCCTTTTCTATAGAATTCAGTGCCACAAATATATAATCAAGCATATTAGAAGTAAGAGTGCTCTCAGGGAACATCTAGGAAAGCATTCTTGAAGTATTGTTTGGGGACTCCTGAAGGCCCTTCAGTGGGTCTGTGAGGTGAAAACAATTTTAAGAACAGTACTAATTATGTTTTAACTTCTAATTAAATTAAATCGATAGATATAACCCACATATACAAAAGATCTTAGTGGGAGGGATCCTCAATAATTTTCAAGAGTGTAAAGGGATACTAAAACTTTATTATTATACTATACTCCCATTGTACAGATGAGAAAACTGAGATCAGAAAAGTGAAGTGATTTGCCCAAGGTATTGCAACTAATTAGTGGAGCTGAGGCTAGAACTTAGATTCCCAGACTTGTAGTCCAGGGTTCTTTCCCTTAAACCAAATATAGGAGAGTAGACCACTCAAAACAACCTAGATCTCCCACTCATTATTATTAATCAGTTCTGGGCCACCCAGAACCATGATTACAGTTATGATATCCTATTGCTGCTTTTCCTGTTTGGGACAATCATACCCCTAAGTCCTATATACTTTTAAAATTAATGTTCATGAAAATTAGTTTTGTAATGAGAATTTCATTATACTGCTAGAGGCAATTGGAACAAATCATTAGATATTACAAAGTCAAGACTGGGAGTCATTGAGCTTGATCTGGCTTTGATTAATTATCTTTGCATAATAGTGTTCAGGGCATTGAGCAAGGCAAGATTCAGACCATAAGGAAATAGTGGTTCACTTTCGCTTCATTTCATGGGATATCTGGATGTTGGTTAGTTTTGGAAAATACGGATCCAGTTCTGGTTTGAATGGATTGATAGCTTTGACACAATTATTTTCTTCTCCCTAAGGACTCATCTTTTGAGAGGAAAGACAGTGCAGGGGAAGTTAAAAGGTCTAGGTTCTAGTCTTGACTCCACCATTATCTAAGGTTTAACAAGTTACTTTACCCCTCTGAGCCTCAATTTTATTCATCTAGATGATAATGGGAGGAGGGAAGGAATGTTGATGCTGTACAAGTTTGTTTAGTTAGTAGGATCTAGAGCTGAAAGGGACCTAAGAGGGCATCTAATTCATGATTCAGTCTGGAAATTAATATTTGAGTCTGAGTCAGGATTAAGCAAATTAGTGCCATCCATTCTGGGTTTTAATTTCTGGTTTGGTTCAAATCTGTGGCACAAAGGTTACGTCCCAGGCCTTGAATATTTCACAAATCAGTTCAATTCAACAAGCATTTCTATGTTCAGGGCTCTTTGCTAGGCAGTGGTGCCACAGAAGTGATGAAATCCCTGCCCTATCTTCTACTGGGACATGGAATAGGGATAGACAGCATTTAAATAGATAGGAAAATGAAGGACGAAGAGTGCACTAATAATAGGGGGCAGGATCAGATTCCGGTAGGTGGGATGAGCCTTGAAGGAAGCTAAGAATCCTAACACGTGGAGATGAGGAAGGACATGTGGGACAGTCTGTACAAAAGCTTGGGAGCAGGAAATTGGGATCCTCAGCTTGGGGAAGGCAAGTTTATTTTGACTGGGGCAGATCATGTATGAAGGGGAATACTGTGAAATAAGTTTAGAAAGGTAGGCTAGAGTAAGAATGTGAAGGAAGGCCTTGACGTGCCCAGCTGAAGAATTTGTATTTTTGTCTAGAGGCAATACAGAGCTGTTGAAACACTGAGCAGGGGCTTGACGTGGTCAGTTGGCACCTATGTAGCCTGTAGAGGATGGATTGGAAAGAGGAGGGACTCGGAGTAGGGAGATGAATTAGAGAGGCCATTGCGAGGCTCCAAGTGGTGACATCCATGGAGAGAAGGAGATGGATTAAAGGAGTATCTTGGAGGTAGCATTCCTGGGATTTTTGACAACTGATTGAATTTGGGGGGTGGAAGGAATAGAGGTGACCTAAGAGTTGATGGTTGAAAATTACTCTGAGGTCAATGCTAGCCTAAAGTATACCCTTACTTCTTTTTTTTTTTCTCTTTTCCAGAATTAGTCATTCCAGATACTGCAAATGTCTTTTATGCTATGAACAGCCAAGTGAACTTCGACTTCATTCTACGGAAAAAAACCACCGTGGATGAACAGGTGAAGCTGCGTAGTCGAACCAGCTTGACCCTGCCCAGGACTGCAAAGAGAGGGTGCTGGAGTAACAGACACAGCAAAGTCACCCTCTGAAAGGGGTGCAGGCGTGGCTTACAGTCTGTCAAAGCAAGGAATGGGACCGAGGAGGTTGGCAAAAGGACTTCAACTACCATCCAGTGTTAGGGAGCCTTCATCTATTCGACAGATATTTATTGAGCATCTGCTAAGTGTATGGCACTGCGCAAGACACCTTGGGGAATGCCAAGATCAACTAGATATGCAAGGGATGAACTACTACCGCGGTGTTCCTCCTTGACCAACTTGTGACTAGAATGCAAAGTTATCCACATATAGAAATATGTATGTGTCTCTGTGTATGTGTGTATATAAACATAAACATATTATATATATATAAATGTATATATAAAAGGAATTTTATGGGATATTCTGGACTATGGGAAAAAATTTGCACATTGGCCTAGGACAATATGGTCATTTTTTATAGGGAAAAAAAGAAGGAACTGAGAACATACATAGCCTTACACCTTCCAATTAAATGAAATCAATTCCTAGGAATACGAATTTTCCTTTGTGCCAGTATTACTTATAACATGAACTTCAAATTTTATTTTTCTAAGAGGAGAAAAACCTCTCAAAATCAAGTGCCACCAGAAGCAAACAAATGAAGGGCGAGAAGAGCCACCATCAGCTGCATGAAAGACCAGTTTGGAAAGGGTCTGGATAAGCCGATGTCCCACAGCGTCTGCCTGCACATGCCACATTCTATCAGCCTGGGCTGGGGAATAGGGAAGGAGCTTGGGTTTCCACCCAGCAAAAAATAAAGCAAGAAGCTTAATTGGAAAGAGTGTTAGATTTTGAAGCTGGAGGACCTGGGTCTAAATCCCAGCTCTGCCACTTACTACCTATGTGACCTTGGGCAAGTCACTTACCTTCTCTGGGCCTCAGTTTCCTCATCTGTAAAATGAGGAGGTTAGACTCAATGACCTCTAAGGTCCCTTCCAGCTCTAAATCTATGATCTACCTTGATCCATTCCCTCAATAAATTGCTTTTCTGGAGGGGGAGGAGAGAAAACTCATTTTATGATATCATCAAATTTCTCTAACCAACATCTTTATTTTTTTGGGCACCCATTCAGGACCAGGATACTCACTTTAGTTTTTTCCCATCTAAAACCATTCAGAAAGTGGGTCATGCTTGTTTTTGCACAAACACTCATGTTTTTGGTTACTTACCAGCCAGGCAAGGAAGTGAAAAAGACGCCCTACATCTGTGGACTCTGTCCTTGTTTGAATGCCACTGGTCATTGCCTTTTCTGGATAAATGCCTTTTGCATGTACAGCTGCATATCATGCTGGTCCTCTGCCATCAGAATTGCTGTTCCTCATTATTCTGTGCAATTATTCCTCAGGTGTAGAACTCTTTTTTGAGACTGACTTAGATTGGTGGCTTGGAGTCTGTGAAGGAATTGATTCCTGAGCGTCGCTTGACCCATTGGCTGCCTTTGAAAATGGTGCCTGTTTATTGTAGCAGTGCCCAGTTTTACTTTATTATTAACTTTTGTAGCATCACTGTGCCTAGCCCACAGCCTCCCCAGGGCAGGGTGGGGGACAGCCTTGTGGGGTCGGGGGTGCATGCCAACTAAAATGTTTCTTAACAAGGTACATTATCCAAATGGAATAAAGAAGTTAATGTTGCATATGGCCCCCCATAGCTGCTATTACTCTGTCTCACTTGGAAGTGAAATTTTTATTGCCAACTATACCATTTTCCTCCAGAGTCTGAGGTGTGGTGAAAGTCATTTTAGGGGTTTGAACTAAAAGCCATATATGTCTGATAATGACGCGTAAGAAGCACTTACAGAATGTCATCCTTTTTTAAACTTTTTTTTTCAGAATATTAGTCTGCATTCCAAAAATAAAAATAAAGATGAAGTGAATCAAGATTATAAAATATAAATTATATACATAGATTTCTCTGTGCTAACTCTGTAATGCGACTATGAAAAGTTGTGTCTCATTTATGTTCTGTGAACAGCCATAATAAATCAAGCTTGGGGTCCTGGAAAGGTCTGGAGAGCCATAACACATAGACAAGAAAAAGAAATCAAACTGAGAATGCCTTACATCTTGCTCAGACTTTTCCAGGGATGGTGAATTTTGCACTGTAAAGATGCCCAACTTCGCACTTCTTCATGCCCATTAGCAGGTCCATCCTCAGTCTGACAAGAGGAGGGAAGAAAGTGGCAGGTGATGTGACCATGGGCCCCACAGTGTGACCAACATATAAGATGGATTGACATTAGAGCCTTAGCCTGTTTTTTGGGCTGTCAGTCCAGGAATAACATGTAAGCATGTGTGGTTGAATGTCCCCAGAGCACAATGTGTTTGCTTGTATATACTGTATATGTAGAGATTAGATTTATATACTGCACTGTACAAAACCTGTATTTTTCATTTTTAAAGATGATGAAAATGCCCAGTGGGATAAAATAGCCTCATTTATTTAATGCCATATTTTAAATACCATTTTTGTTCCTAATGGACAGCTTGTATGTGCTTTTAGCTGCTCGCACTCTTCTCCTTTGGCATCTCTGTCATCTGTTTACCTTCTGGTTAAACTAATAAACTGGTTTGGGAATAAGATCCCATATCTGGTTTGGGAATAAGAAGAATATCACTCATCTCCTTACATTGGTTCCTTCTCTTTCCTTCTGTCCTCCTGTAGGACAAGGAAGAGCTGGAATACTTCCAGAAAAATGGAGCTTCCTACCTCATGGGTCAGCACATGCTGTTTGGGGGCAGCTCCCATATTAAAAAAAATATTGAGCCCATCATGAAGTCTATGATCATTTCACAAAGTTCTAATTCTATCTCTCAAACCAAGTTATGAATGTTTTCAGAAGATACATTTGTCTGGTGTGTCCAATGTGGCCATTTTATAGATGCAATTGAACTTCAAAGGATAAATAATACTTGAATACTATTCCATCCCTCTGCTGTCTGCTTTCACTTAAGCCACTCTGCCCAGAGGGATACAAAGCCTATGCTTAAAGGATACAGGGAAATAAGGTCTCATTGCATCATTATTATTCCTGTTTTATAAATGAAGTAAAGCCAAAGACTACACTCCATTTGATTCAACAAGCATTTTGGGAGTTTATTGTGTGTAAGAGTTCCTGTGCTGGTCACTGAGGGCGTTGTGAAGATCAAGAGATGGTCTGTTGCATCAAGGATCTTATCATTTAGTAGGAAGGAATAAGACGTACACTTTGGCGGCTCTGTGACCTCACTGATAGGAGTGCGCCACACTTCATCTTGCGACACAGACGTGGATGTCCTGTGATATGTCACGGATGCTTACTACCCCTGCTCATGTGAACTATGCTTCAGACACTCTTGACAACTTTCTGCCTCTTCTAAACACAGTGTGTTTTTGTGTCTCTCTGTCTTTGCTTGGGAAACATATTCTCTGTCCTTGGAATACACTCCTTCCTCTCTTCATCTGGTGAGTTCCTACTCATTCAAACATCACACCACCTGGGTTGAAGCCTCTCCTATGCATCTGCCCATTCTCCTACCTTTGAATCTCGAAAACTTCACAGGCAAGTTTCATTTCCTCCTAATGTGCTCATCATATGTTGTATGTTAGCATTCTCTCTGTTGGTGTTTTCCCTTCCCTTCTGTATTGTAATCTCCTAGAGGATAAGGACCATACATTAAATTTTACATCTTCTCCCCTTCCTTAGTACAGCATTCTGCACACAATAGCAAGTACTGAATGTAGTGCTGGTTTCATTTTTGTGCTATACAAATGTGTGATCTTCTATAGACTTTGCAGAGATTTTTTTCTCTTTTTCCATCACTACCCATTCAAAAGAAATAGTTTCAGTTTACAATTCCAAATTCTTATGTAAGCACTAACCACAGAGGGTGCCAATAGATCAAGCCTGGGGTGGGAAAAGCAGACAGTGAGGAATTTCAATCTATTGTCTCATGCAAAGCTCCAGTCCCAGAACCCAAGGCTTTTAGAGTATTGTTAGAAATTGTCTAGACCAAGCCAATTGACTCCCCACCACCTCTCCATCCCACAGGGACCTTTTTCTGATCCTTGTTGGTGGGCTAGTCACAGCTTTCTCTAATAATCATGGTTTGGAATCTGTAGCCCAATCAGTCAGACTGGACAGGGCTGGTAGCTATTGGCTATGAGTTATGAGATCTATGCTGCTGGGGAAGATGGACAGATAACACTGACAGGTGCTACATGCCACCTGTTGCCTGGGGGGGGCGGGGGAAGAGAGAGCAGACCATCTGGATCTAGATTTGGAATGACTTTAGTAAAGAAATGAGAAGCTGGACAGAGCCCCTCCCCAAAGCACTGGAGTGAGAGATTCTTGCCCTGATAAAATGTGTCATCAGAGGGGACTGTTATCTTCTTTCACTAAGTGACCAAGCAGCCCAAATGGGAAACCTCAGAAGATAGCATTTTAGAGAAGTGCTGAAAAGTACTCTGGGAAAATTTAGACCTGTTTGTGCCTTTGGGAAAGAATGACTAATGGAACTAGAAGAAATCAGATTCTTTCCCCTTCCCTCCCTTCCCCACACCCCACTAAGCAAACACATTCTGTATCAGCTTTCTAAAGAGGACTGGTTGCACACAAAACATGGGAATAGCAAATCATTGCTGACTGATAACATTTTCCTTTGCCAACTACAAATATTTAAAATAATCAGACAGTCTCAAGCATTTATCCAGCATTGGGCAGCATGTGCAGGGGTAAGCCCAGAGGGCTTTTTGATTCATAGGCACTCGATCCATCCAGTCCCTCCACTCCCATGGTTTCTTCATCTAATATCCCCCTAACTTGTCTCCTTCTTTCTAGCATCTCCACTCTCTACAACACCCTTCTTAGAGCTGCCAAAAATCAACTTCCTAATGCATAGACCTGACCATGACACTTCCTTGCTGAGGAAACCAGTGGCTCCCTATTATAAAATAAAATGCAGATTCCTTGGCCTATGGTACTAATAAGATTGAAGAAGCACGATATAGTGAATAGAGAGCTAGCCCTGGAGACAGGAAGACTTGAATTCAAGTCACACAACTGACAAGCCCAAGTTACCTAAATATTCAACGCTCCAGGGAGGTATTGAGGACTACAAGGCACAGAACAGAGCAGGTGCTGATCTACCTTGGCAGAAATTTCCTTACCGAGACTTTCTCATAGCAGTGAAATCACAGATCTGGAATATATACAAATAAATATGTGTATGTGTATACATATATATGGCTATATACAGACGGGTGTATATGTATATACATACATGTATGCATGTGTCCACTGCGCCACCTAGCTGCTCAGGCTTTGCATAGCACTTTTTATCATCTCATTTGTCATCATGACAATTCTGTAAGACAGAGACCTTTATTAATAATCTCCCCATTTTTACTGATGAGGAAACTGACGCTCAGAGAAACTGTTGCTTGTTCAGAGTCACCTAGTTAATAAGAGCCTGAAGGCAAGATTCAAACCCAGGACTGACTCCAGGTCCAGTGTTCTATTTACCATATCCTTTTGCCTCTCGGTATGGGAATTCAAAAGTGAAATTGAACAGTCCCTGCCCTCAAAGAGTTTACAATATGATTGGGGTTGAAGAAGGAAGAGATGTACCCATACAGATTGCAAGAGTACTTTTTAGCACCAAACATACAGGAGTCTTAAATTAGATTTCTTTGCTATTCCACCAGCTTATTTTATAGCTTAGTCACTGCCGCTGAGAGTTCAAATGGAAAAGAACAGAAAATGGTCTTTTCTGGAAGCTGCCTATATTAATCCCCCTTGGGCCCAGCCTTTTGTTGGTGTCTCACTCTCCTTTTTTTCTGGCTAATGACATGCTCTGCCCTTTCAAGGAAGACTGACTAGATAGTCTGACATTTCCCCCTTCAGCTTAGCTTCTTTCTTAGAGGCTAGTCTAGGAGACTCCCTCCTTGACTACAGCTCTCTGAATTTCCCATCTTGGAGCTTAAGTGCTGCTCTCCACAATCTGTTCCCCAGTTCCTTCACTCCTGGGCTTTGCTCAGCCCCAATCCTTTCTGTCTCTAGGAGTTCTTTTGGTCTTTCTTGAGAGCTTCCCCTACTCTGGCCCAAAGGCATCATCTTCCATTATCTGCTCCAGCCCCATTGGTAGGTACTTGCTCTGAATTAGCTAACCAGGATACTGACTATTTATCACAGCACAACAACCCCTTCTTTCTTGATACTCTCATGTAAGTTTCAAAAGCAACTCCGACTGGTTTCTAGTAGACTTTAAAGATGCTTAAGATTTCCTATTTACATTTGAACTCTCCAGTGCACTGTCTGGAATGTCTCTTCCCAATTTCACAATCCATTTGGGGGGGAAGCCAGCATTTTGTTGCAGTTCACTTTCCAATCTTCCCTGCAAGAAGCAGGATCAGAATGAAAAAAATATCTTCCTTAATCCACTCCCTAAAAATCAAGTTCTTCATAGCAACTAAACTAGCTTTGGTCTTCACACCCTGGAAAAAGGAAGCAGCTCAAAGGCAATGTCTGTGCTGCATCATGAGACTCCTGATAAAGGAGCAGTTTTCTCTCATTGTGGGAAGTTTGCCAACTGATAATGACATCATGGGGAAGGGAGAGATGAATGCACAGACAGTGATGCTATTTGGAAGCCTTAATTCTTGAGGAAGCCAAGTGAAAATAATGATCATAGGGAGGGTGAGAATCTACCCAGTGTGAGGGAAAAAATGGTCCTCTAAGAGGAGGATTCTCTACCTTTTTCTGTTTTTTAATAAAACAGAGAACATAGTTTTGTGCTGTGAATAGCACATCTGGAATTCTAGGCAAAGACTGCAGTAAGAATGACCCATAAATATTTATGGGTATACTTTGCTCTCTGTAGGACCTAATCTGTTGAGGGGCTTTGGATAAAATATAAGAGTGGAAGCCAAGAATCAGTCTCAGGGCACTCTTCAGAAGAACGGTAGGGCAGGAAGCAACCTTGAAAGCTCATCTAGTCCTTTCCTGTGTCTAAGTAGCTGAATTGTCTTAAGATACATCTCATGTTTAAATACACTGAGGAGTAGCCATTCTGCCTAAAAACATTTTTCATGTCTACGTTTAGCCAGTCGGTTGATAAGCTCTTCCTGATATCAAACTCAGATGAAGTTTAAACCTCCATGACTTGGAATCTTGCCTTACACATATACTAGCTGTGTGATCCTGAGCAAGTCACTTAAACTTTTCTGAGCCTTAATTTCCTTATCTGTAAAAAACGGGCATAATGGGTCAGCTAGGTGGTGCAGTGGATAGAGCACCGGCCCTGAAGTCAGGAGGACCTGAGTTCAAATACGACCTCAGACCAAACACTTGACACTTACTAGCTGTGTGACCTTGGGCAAGTCACTTAACAACAAAAACAAAAACAAAAACCGAACACAATAAGAGCAACTACTTCACATTATTTGGGAGGATCACATAAGATACTGTTTGAGAAGCACTTCACAAACTTTAAAAAATGATACAGATATGTGAGGCAGAGGAGGAGGAGGAGGAGGAAGAAGATGATAGTGATGATGTCTTTATTGGAGATGAAAAACCATTATCTGAGAAATCATTTTAAAA